ATGTTCGTATAATTATTAACATTTAAATATTTCTTATTTAAATGTCAATATATATTTCGGAGGAAATTTACACTTTTCTGAAAAGATGAGCCCTAATTAAATATTTCTTTGGGTTTATTTAGGCCTGGGACTGGGGTTTGCAGCTTTTTCTCCATGTTTGCAACCATCCAATAATTTTGGAACTTCCGTTAGAGTATTTATATAATTTTCTGAAAATTTCAGATAAATTTGTAAAACTCTAGAAATATATGAAGTATCGATGATCACAAACCAAGTAGTTATGGGGAAAGTTAAAGTGTCCCCATTAATAAACAGCTTTGAAATTTTATTAAATAATAATTTCTTTTAGATAGGTAATAATTATTTGGGTATACGTTCTTGTGGTAACTGCTTGCAGCAATACAGTCGTACTATGTATATAAATAAGTTAACTGTAGAAAACCTCGCGGCTGGACAATTTATTGTTGGAGTGAATAACAACACAAAATTTAGTGATAAAGCTTATCTCAAAGATATTCATATTCTTGGATCATCAGCAGATCAAGTTTACCCCTGTAAAGTTTTTGATGGAAATAATAATGGAGGGAATCCTAAAGTTTTAACACCGGAAAAAACTAAAGGAGATGGAAAATTTTGTATTTTTGCTGAAACTGACATTCATATTAATTCATAATTATTTAATTTAAGAAGAAAATAATGTATGTATTGGGTTTGGCAATTTAGCCGTATTTTTTGTTATTGCTATTACACGTAGTAAAATAAAGTTAAATAAATAATTTTTTCTTATTTGATTCTCTTATTATTGATAGATGTTTTAAAACAAGAAAAAACTAAAGGAGATGGAAACTATTGTAATGAGTTAACTGTAGAGACTGAAACAATAATTATTAAAAACCTTGGTTACATCCCCTGTGGAACTAGTGATTAAGAGGGTATCATTAATTCTTCAGAAATTATGAGGAATATTGGTTTGAATAAAAATTTAAAGAGATTAATTATTAGTATTATAATCTGCATATTTTCTAAAAATTTTGTACCATATTTTTATTAAGTAAATTTTTCGTTTCAAATAGAGATTTAAACTCTTAAGCAATTTTATACGGACTTTTGGCAAGGTTTCGCGTCACCCTAACAAAACCATAAAATATATACTCGAAAAATTTATTAAAACACTTGTGTAAAGCTAAATAATTTAAAAATCTTCAACTAAAAGTGCAAATTTTATAAAAATTAATTATTGTATACTATATTATCTATAAATCTTTTTTACTAAATACTTCGAATAATTTTATTTAATTAAATTTTTTCAGCTGTTTGTCTGTTCTGTTTCAATTAATTTAAACTTTAAATGTCCCTGGTATAATGGATTTGTTATAGAAAGTACAAATAAGATTTTAATTGTCCTTTAAGAATGTTAAAAAAATTTCAAGCTTTAAAGCAAATATTTGCCTAAATTTTTTATATATAAATAGAAAGATTTTGCCTGATAATGCCAGAGCCAATATGCAAAGGCTCAATTAATCTCACATAGGACTAGAGTTTAAATTACTTTTACCTATTAGGGAACCCCAACTATTTTGGAAACCCGGTGAAATTAAGACCGAAAACAAAAACATTAATTTTCACTTCAAAAATTAATATTTTTGTTTATTTTTATCTAAACATTTCTTAGAAATATATAATTAAATACTTGCACGAAAAATATTTCCAAGTTAGAAAATGTCTATTTTTGTGCCTATTGTTTTCGTGCTCCTACAGCTTCTTCAAGGGTGTCAAAGTTTTGGGCCGGCAGCGAAAAAGACAATAACGGTAGTTAATTATTAGGTCGGGTCATAATTAGTGCCGCTTTTTTGAACTGAATTTTTAAAATTAAGTTTTTTGCCAATATGTTTTATTTTTATTTTTTAGTTAATCTCTAAAAGATCCAAGCATTTGAGAATTTTTGGTCGAAAATATAAAAATCTGATCGAAAATATAAAAATTTTCGAAATCACACATCTCTTACGATATAAAAATCTACCAATAAGAGAAAAAGATACTCTTAATTTATTTGTTTACCTAGTTGCAAAGCAAATTAGTTGTGACCAAAAACTTTGATTGTGGATTTACACGTTATATACCAGACCCAAAAAAGATGGGAGATGGAGGTGCTAATGAATACCAACAACCAGTTATTGAAGTTAGAAATGGAGCTACTCTCTCCAATTGCATTATTGGAGCAAAAGAAGGATTTAAAGCAGCTGATGGTGTTCACTGTGAAGGAAGTTGTACACTTAAAAATGTTTGGCACGAAAAAGTTGGGGAGGATGCCGTTACCTTCCTTGGTAAGTTCTCAGATAAGCCCCCCTCTATTTTGATGATAGGTAAAATAGTTTTAAGGTTTGTTATAAAATGTAAATACTCCTATTCATTCACTTAATAATAATTTTTAATAAGAGACAATAAGTTAGAACTAATTTTTAACACAAATTTTAGGAACAAACCCAAATAATGTGTATATAATCGAAGGTGGCGGAGCCATAAATGCAAATGGAAAAGTTGTACAATTTAATGGGGCTGGAACGGCAAAAATTAACAATTTTTATGTTCGTAACTTTTAAAAAGTTTAAAAAATAATTCGAAACAGTGAATATTTTCCGTTATAATTACACTCGACAACCAATACTAAATGGAATTTTCCCTTCTATTCGATAGCCTTTAAGCCATAACCAAAAAGGGCATCAAACAGGCACGTAAATAATTGTAATAAGAATTGTAGCAATACACCTCCCCCCTTCCCCTTTCATAAAAATATTTTTAGATGAAAGACTGCACTTATGGAATAGCTTCATGTGGTAATTGTGTGGCACAATTTAGCCGCCGTATAGAAGTTACAAATTTAAAAGTAGAAAACCTTAAAGCTGGGCAATTTATTGTTGCAGTTAATTCTAAATTTAATGATCAAGCAATTCTTAAAAATATTCATATACTTGGAAAATCAGCAAAACAAGTATATCCTTGTAAAATATTTAATGGAGTAAAAGGAAATGGAAATTTTAAACTTGAAAAAATGGGGGCAGATGGAAAACATTGTAAATATAATAATAATGATATTCATTTTAATTAGGTAATATTTTAAAAATATTGTTATAGTTTAATTGTTAATTATTGTTATATGTTGATATATATATTTAGTATGTTAATGTTATAATTTAATTAAAAATTTTTGTAAATAAATGTTTAAAAACTAAATCAGCTTGAGAATATTTATTTTGTATAGGATGGTTTGTCTGGTTCTTATATTGGAATTAAAATTTATAATCCCAAAAAGTCTTGAAATTTCAGACTCAAGATGGGAAAAAATTTTTCAAAAATAAAGAGAGAGGAAGATATTAGTAGAAAAATTTAAAAAAAGAAATTTACGAAAAATTAATTAAGATTTTATTTAGATAAATTTTAAAAGATAGGCATTCTAATCTTCTCAAAAAACATATAGGCATTAAACAAATAATTTAAAAAATTTTATTAAAAACCCTACCTGAAACAAAGGTAAAATTTAAATTGTAATTTACTTTATTTTTAATTTTGGATATATTTATAATCAATTTAAAAAATAAATGTAATTTTAAATAAATTAACAAAAATAAAATGTTTGCGCAGCAGATTTAAATAAATAAATTTGTTTTGTCCACAAAGATTTGGCCATCATAAGCTTTGTAAAAGTAAAGGATTAACGCAAGTATAGAAAGAGGAATGACCGGTATGAACAAAGAAATTGAAAAAGAAAAACAAATTAATCTATTAAAGAAAAACCATATGGGGACATAAAACTCAAGTGGAAGGAGGGAGGGGGAAAATATTCATTTTAAGAATTTACTTGAATAAATATTTGTAGTAGTACATATAATTTTAAATAGAATAACAAGATAAAATACCAAGAAAAAGATTTTAATATCTCTAGAAATCTTCCATTGATGATGCCTATTATTGTTTTAGGACAAACTTTGTGAAATTTAATTAATAGAAAAATTTAAATAAATTATTTCTATACATACAATAATAATGTCTTTTTAGTATTTTCGTGTAGAAAAAAAATTATAAGGGCGCACATATGGAATAAACTCAGAAATTTTATAACACTTGAACAGGCAAAACAAAAATAAAATTGTAAATATAATTCAAAGATTGTTTAAGAAATATTATTTTTATAATTTAAAAATAATATTTTATTTATAAAAAATATTTTTTTGGATAAAAATAGTTATTAATATGCAGTTTATGAAAATTTATATTATTTAGTTAAGGAAAAACGAAAATGCCCCCACGCGGGATTGAACCGCGGACCTTCAGTTTACGAGACTGACGCTCTACCACTGAGCTATAGAGGCACACATTCAAAATATTTATTTTGACCTTATCAATTGAGAAAATAAATAAAATAAATTCTATTTCCTCAAAATTTTTTTTATTATTTTTATCATAATTAATTTTAAATTGATTTTAAATTTAATTAAATTATTTAACAATAACTTAAATGCTTTTAAAAATTTATTAAACCCTTTTAAAATATTTTTAAAATTATTTAAATATTTTTAATAAAAATATTCTTTCCCGAGGCTTTGCTTTTAATGCTTTTTTGTTAGTAAAATGCGTAATTATAATTTAATTTTAGTCGCAAAAAAATATTTAAAGAAAGTATTTATTTTTATTCATCTAAGAAGTATGAAAAAACGATTAAAATAAATAATTGTTTTTAAAAGTAATTAATTAAATAATCAAAATTTTTTTCTAAATGCAAATTAACTAAAAAAGAAATTAAAGCTTAAACTAAATATTTAACTTGAAGATTTGCAAGATTAAATTTTGGGAAAATGGTTTTTTCAAAAAGTTAGGAGGAATTTAATCGTGAATTTCTGGAAGAATATCATTTAAACCAGAATTTAAATAGAAAATCATGCGGGGGTTATTTTATAAAAAGTAATGGAAGGGAGGGCTTTGATTATGAATGTAAATTTCTTAATTTATGAATTAATATGGATGTCACTTTTTTTATAAATGCAATAAGTTCCATCTCCTCCATTATCATTTTCCGATTGAAGAACTTTTGGATTTTTACCTTGATTATTTCCTTCGAATACTTTACAAGGAAATACTTGATTTGCTGTTGATCCATAAATATGAATATTTTTGAGGGTAGCTCTCTCTCCGTAATTTTTATTTACCCCAACAACATATTGTCCAGCTTCGAGGTTTCTTATAGTTAAACCGTCTACATGAACTTCACGATTACGATACTGCTGCTTACAGTTACCACAGGGACGGATTCCTTGTCCAGCACCGTCTATCTTAAAATTATTTAATTATTTTCATCTTCTTTTGTGATACTAAGGTTCACATTGAAAAAAAACATAATCTAGAACGATAAAATCATTCTTGATATCCAAAATAGTGATGGGTCGGATTGAGAAATCGGGTCAGTTATAAATTTAATTCGGATTGAATTTTAATATAAAGGTAAAATTTTTAGAATTTTTAAAGACAACTTTATTATTGACCACTAACTTCTATAGTAAAAATAAATAAAAATGCACAAACGTAAAAGTTGTTGACATATAATTTTCCAGCACCGTCGAATTGTATCGTTTTTCCTTTACCAAGTCTTGCACCTCCACCGTTAATTTTATACACAGAGTTTGGACTAGTGCCTAAAATAAAAAATTTTATTTAATAATTATATTTAACAGTTCATGTCAATAGTTATGACACAATAAATAATTCACTTAAACTAACCAAATAAACTAATAGAATCATCTAAAACATGATCATTCCAGCAATCTTCAATAGTACAAGTTCCAAGACAATGAAAACCATCAGCACCTTCAACAATACATCTCGATATTTTAACTCCATCCGCTATTTCAATTACTGGCTTCATAAATTCTCCACTGCCCCAACCGCCTCCAGTTGGCACATATTTTTTATAATTACAATCCAAGTGTTTTGTAACTTTTTTTGTGTCCGTAAGCTAAATAATATTTTAAATTATCCTTAAAAATATGTACTACCGGAATTGTTTGTGTAGGAGTTGGCCATTTAACATCACCCAACCCCTTTTCCAAAGACACCGATACCAAGAAAATAATTAACAAAAAATCATTCATTATTTTTTAATTTTTTTAAATATTTTTACCTTAAGATATTTAACATTAAAAAATAAAATTTTAAATTAGATTTAGTACAATAGACAATCTACAGGCTGACATACAACTCTGTATCCAAGCAAATGGTGGGCACTTCGAAAATTCTTACTAATATCCGTCCCTTATTTAGTTCTCTATCATATAAACTTTATTTGATCAATTTATCTTTAATTTGTATAAAGTTATGGCAAAGATAACGAGTCCCATATCTTTTATGTCACCCTGTGGAAATTGAAGAAATCTTAATAAATAAATAAGGAAATTTATATGGGTGCTATTTTAACAAATTAGGAATACAACCTTTGTTTATATTTATGAACAAAATCCGAAGTCTACTTATAAATCTTATAAAACCGGCTACTAATTAATACTAAAAAGTTCTGCCATTCATGCAACACAGACAGGTAATTTTAGATTTCAGTAACTTTTTACAATATTTGGAAAAAATATTAATAATAAAAAAATAAAAAAAAATATATAAAATGATAAATGATGGGCGTTTTTAAGTGTTTATATAAAATAAGAAAAATTTTTTTTATTTTTTAAAATTATTTACTGCCAAAATTTATTTTTGAACCAACGTGGATTGAATTGAATATTTAAAAAAGCAAAGTTAATTTTTGCTTGGATTTACGGAGGTTTTGCCTTTCCTCAAAATTTAAATTAATTTCTGTCAGCATCTTTCGCTTCCGATGTTTAATCCATCTCTGATATATCTTCATTCTTAAGCTTCTCTGGCATAGCAGAATGCGAAAGACATATCGCTTACATACATGTGTATATCCAGATAATCCTTCTAAACAAATAAATTTTATTTTTTTTTATTAAAAAAATCATTTGAATTTTTTATTTAAAAAAATTTTTTATTTAAAAAATTTTTTTTTATTTTTAAATTATATAAAAATTAAAATTTAATTTTTCTATTTAATTAGCTTTAAGTCATTTCATTTTAAAATTTTTATATTTTTTTTAATATTTTTTTGCAATAAAGTATTAAAATATACCACATTAATAATAATTAATGAGAAAAAAATTTTTAATAAATAATTTTATTTTAATGAAAATATAATCAATTCAAATTTATTTGTAAAAATTTGTAAGGAAAATTTTATTTAAAACAATTATCAGACATTTTTCTTAAGTTTTAGTCCGATATTTCCGAGGTCCTCGAGCAACCGAAATAACAATTTATATAAATTAGAAAATAAAAATATAGACGAAAGGTGAATTAGCGCTGGATCAAATGAGAAAGAGTTGGGATAGCCTAGCTATGCTAGTATAGTACAAGTATGTAGTTACAATTAGAATCTGACATTGGTTTTATCTATCCATTATGATTACTAGAGCCAGGATTTTTAGGCATGATAAAGTTAAAAATAGGCGCCTATATAGGCACTAAAAAACTGCCAGATTAGGCACCAAAATCCGAAAAAAAGGCAAAATAGGCAGTATTTTTTCGAGATTTTCTGATTTAAATTGATTAAATTTTATCAAAAAAGATAAATCTAAGCAATAAAATGTTAAATAAATTAATTTTGACGATCAGAATTACAAATAAATCAATTCATATTAATTATTTTGTTTCCAAAAATAACTTGATAAATTTTTCAGAAGAAAATTTTTCCCAAAAAAATTTTTTGGAAAAATTTTATATTTTACAAGAAAAAATTTTTTTAGACAACAATTTTGTCAATAAATGCCCTAAGATTCGCAAATTTTGGTAAAAATATGCAAACTAGGCTGAAAAAAGGCAAAATAGGGCACTTTTCCAGAAAAAGTTGAAATAGGCAATTTTAGGCAACGATAAAAGTAGTTAGAAAGCACATTTTAGTAAAATAACACCGGATTTGAACGTTTCAGTATCAGGCCTATCTAGGAAAAAAACAGGCATTTGCCTAAAAATCCTGGCTCTAATGATTACCACTAAATTAGACCATTAATTTAAATTTCAATTATTTGCTAAATAAAAGACTATTTCCATTTATTTTTGTTTTTTTAAATTTAAATAGATAGTATAACAATCAAAAAACATTTAAAAATTTATTAAACCCTTTTCTTCCAATATCTTCTTGACTTTTATGTAATTAATTCTAATTGCTGATTTACTTTAAATCCATTCAATATTATATTTTCAAAGATTAAATAATTATTTATATCATATTTTTCTATCATTTATCCGATTATTTATTTATTATGACCCCATTTACATTTCCTTTTATGATTTTAATTAATAAAAAAGTATTAGTTGATAATTATCGATATTTTATGTTTATTTAATATTAATTTAATTTAATTTTGCCTTTCTAAAAGAATAATAACTAAATAAATTTTATCCCAACATTTTACCTTATTTTTCAATAATCCTCTGAACCCCTATTTTTTAGAGTTTCTATTAAAAGAATTAAATGTACAAAATTAATCAAATATTTATTTTTAATATTTATTTTTTATTTTTTGTTATTTTAATAAATAATTCACAACAATTTGAAGAAGAAATTAGCGAAAAGTCTTTCCGTCATTTATCAAATAGAAGATTTAAAAGGGATTTTATGCTTGCAGTAGGAAATTCAAGTGATCCTTTGCCGACTTGTTTTAGAGTAATTTTTGGATTTTTTAATATTTAAAAATTATTTTTTATCATGACTTTCGGGCCAATTTTTTTTAGCATCCAAAAAATGGATAGAAAAAATCTGAGGGTAAACGGAAATCTAATGTTGGAAATCTTTTAAATTCTGGTTTCGGTTTAGGCAAATTCTTTAACATTCCATTAGGCCATTCTTTTCTTGTAAAATACAAAAATTGTTTTGAATTATCGGCAAAATAAGCGCTGAGTATAATTAAATTAGTTGAAGGCTTTTTCTCATCCAAAAAGTTTTCTGGGTCGATTTCTTCAGTATCGTTTAGATAAAGACATCCTAGATGGACATAATGCCCATAATTGTGAATCTACAAAAAGGAAATTTTTAGAAATTATTTAAAATAGTTTTGGATATATGGAATTCACAATAAGATACTAAATACAACTCGAACATACCGTAAAAGCTGTATTAATGTCCCTCCCTCAAATAATTACCCTGCCTGTATTAGTTACCAGCAAGTGATCGAAACAATAATTACCCAGGGTAGTTAATACAGTTTTTACGGTAGATAGGCCCTATAGGCAACATACTACTATTTAATTTACACACAAGATACATTTTGGGCTTTGTGAGAATTTATAGATTCGCTAATTAATTTTAATTATCGATAATAAATTTAAAAATAAAAAATTAATTTAATTAATTAACCCTTTTCTCGTAATAATTATTTTCATTTAATTTCAAATTAATTTGATCACAATTTAAAAGTTCAGAAGAAATGTTTAGTAATTTATTAGCTGCCATTTTCCGTACATTTTGGCTTGAAAAAGAAACTTTTTTAAATTTAAAACTTTAAATAAACTTACTCCAACAAACAAATTAAAGTTTTCTTTTTTATTTGTTCTGTTTTTATTTCCTCAAAATCAGAATAAAGTTTAAATAATTGTTGGGAACATTGTTGAGCAATTAAATTATTATTTTTAGTTAAATCAGAATTTGTGTAAATTAATGGAAGGAAAAATATTTTTAAAATTATTTTAAACATTTTTTTAGTTTTTATGGAAGAAATTTTAATTAATTTATTTTTATTTCTGTTTCCATAACAACAAATAAAAATAAATAATTTTTTTCTTAATTTTATAGCAATGCAATAAAGAATGGAGGCAAGACTTTGAAAGGGAATTTGCAATGAATGTTTCTGATTTTTATGATTTCCCTTTTCATCCAAAAGTGCTTGATTATGTCTCTTTTTTGGCATATTGCCGATTAGCTGATAGACAAACACAATGTTTTATTGAAAAATGTAATGATCAAGTAAAGAGAAATTTTTTTTAGAATTTTTAGAATTTTTAAAATTTAATAGAACGCCGATCGTGTATTTTCTCCCTCAAATTTTCTTTGTACATTTAAACGTCAACACTTCCTTAGAGCCCGTCCCTGTTTAGAAGCAAGTGAACCAATAGGATTTTTACGTTGTGATCGTAGCTGTCAACCTTCTAGTACGGATATTGAAGGGGTGGATAAACAGCAGCGACATACAGAATTGGGCAAAGTATTTTCTGAAACTGAATTGGATGCTTATGAGAAGGAATTAAATAAACTTTGCTCTTTTCAAAAATGCTTTGCAAAATGCCATGAAGAAATTGTTGGTAAGAGAATTTTTGAATTAAATTGAGTTAATAGATATTGAAGTATATCAGGATTTAATTAATGATTATTATAAAATATAACTCCATTTATAAGAATTAATGTAAATATAATATTTAAATAAAATTTTTCCTTTAAAAAATCAGAGCAAATTTGTACTCCAAGCCAAGCAACAATCGCTACAGAATTAATGCAAACTTATCTTAAATGGCATTCTGCTGATCTCCTTGATTGGCATTTATTAACTGGAAATGAAAGAATTTTGCCTCAAAGTTGTGCTTTATTAATTCAATTAGAACAGAAGGAAAGACAACCGAAAAGTAGTTTAAAATTAAAAGATTTGGATGAAATAAATGATCCTATTTTAATGGCTATGATGGCTGCTGCTTAAATATTTTTTAAAGAGATTTTTAAATTATTAAAAATATTCTTAAATAAATAATTATTTTTATTATTTTAATTTAAAAAACAAATAAATATTATTGTATTAACAAACAATAACAATGTCATATAAACATTATTTACATTTGTCAATTTCTTGGCTTTTGAAGGATACAATTTCAAATTGTTCTGTATCCTATTAAAAGATAGGGAATTTGTAATCACAGTTTAATACCTCATCAAAGCTCAATTGTTCACTTTGAGGGAATAAATTTCCATTTAACCATTCAGTAATTTCTTCACTATGATAGGGGACACTTACATGAGCCTAAATAATTATAATTAAAAGAATTCTTAATTTAAAAATAAATTTAAATAATTTTAAACTTTTAAAATATTCCATACCTGTGCTTTTGGCGGGCTCCCTCTAAAAAGACTGATGCACCCAGTACCGAATGAAATAATACCAACGATGAACCAACGTTTTGTTCTACCATAGCTATCATCCGCAAATTGTGCAATAACACCTCCTCCACTATCTCCCTTTAAAAATATTTTTTTTGAAAATTTAGGAAGATTTTAAATAAACATTGCAAAATCCTTCTGTGAAAGTCTCCATAGTACAAATTAGATCATAAATTCTAGTCATATCTAAGTAATTTCCAAATTTCGACACTTGATTTAAGCATTGCTGATCTGTCCAAATTCCAGGTAATTTAAGTAAGTGTAATTGAGAATGTGCGTACAGTAAACATCCTCCTCTTTTATTTTTTCCATGACATTCTTGTGTGCCAGCTAGTAAATTAAAAATACATAAAATTAATTTGACAATAGAATAAGAATTTATAATTTGTAATAATGTTATTCAGATTAATTTTGTGGTACCTTCCGATTCTCAAAAAAATAAGGAGAGATAACGAAAAAGTACAGAAAAATCTTTAAAAATTTACGATCAGGTCCCCATCCATAAGCAAGCACTGGATAAGCATTTGCTTGCCAATCTATATTTTTTGTATTCTCGTGTAGATTTAATAAACACTGAAATTTAATTTTAATTTTAAATATTCATTATTTATTTATTAATTACAATATGATTAGCTATATCAGCAGGAACATCCTCTTCGAGTTCAATAATTGCATAATCATCTAAAAATTAGTTAATTCATTAAAAAATTAATTTTAGTTACTAACAATGTAAACATTTTGCATCAAAATATTGTGAATATTTTGCTCTAGATTATGAATTTAAAAAAGGATTTTTAATTATTTTTTTAGCAAACTTTAAAATTCTAAATCGTCTTTGATGTGTTTTTGATATGCATTCTCCAAAGACAACATTACTATTTATTAGACAATTGGATCCAATATAAACTGTAATGTAATTGTGAACATCTGCCTCAGGTATTGCACTTTGTTCATATGAACTTTTTTAGAAATGATTAAAAATAAAATGAATTTTGAGGATTTTCTCAAAAATTGTTTTTTATTATTATTTTTAAAAATTTTTATCTTTGATTATTCTGAAATTAATTTTCTGATTTTATTTTTATTTGTCAAGATTTTTAACTTTTTTCACTTACTAACAACAGTGTGTATTATGACATTCTACTTCATCTCTTTTCAATAACTTTCCATACTTAAAGAAACAATGCGCAGCAGTTAGTACATGACGGCGCGAAATCAGTGTTCCCGTACAAGCATATCCATCTTTTTTTTTAATTTAATTTAAAATATTTTCTGTTACCATATCCATCTAAATGTTTGTGTATAGCTACAGCCCATGGCAATTGACCCTCCTCGACTCCATGACCACCCATTACTTTTCTGTGTATATGTTCGTCATGGTGATAGTGTGTCTCATTTAAATGTTTAAAGGATGAATTTTTGTAATTAACATGGTGATTATGTCTATGGTGGTAATTGTGTGGACGAAATCTTTTATATCTACTAACAAAATTGTTGTCCTATAATTTTGGTGGATTTAAATAAAAATTAAATAATTAAAATTACATTATCAACGTGTAAAGGCAATCCACAACGATGAGAATCTTTTTTTTAATTTTTCTAATTTATTAAAATAAATTTTTAAAAATAACCATAATGTAATGGAGGAAGTTCTCCTTCTTCGAAATCTTCTAGTTTAGTCCATGTATTTGTGGCATAATTTAAGTGCTCAAATTCGTTTGAAACACCTTGATTGGATAAATTAATTTGTTAATTAGTATTTTAATTAAATTAAAATATTAATTTAGAAATATACCTATTAAAATAATTAAAATATATTTTAACATAAATTGTGTAATTACTGACATTCTCCGATAAATATTAGTAAAAATATATTAATTTAATTAATTGAGATTACTAATGAATTTAAATAAAATTATTAAATGCTATTTATTTGGATGTGAAATTACTATATTACTAAAATAATAATTTTTTCAGACAGATCATCTAATTTTACTTAAATAATTAATAATATGAATCATTAAATATTTATATTTTAATAAATTGCTCACAAATTACTAAATTCTACGGAGAACTACTATTTAGTTAGGTTTTTATTAGAGATAGATGAATTGAATATTCGATCGAATAATTCGAATTCGAAATTTGTTAAAAAAATTTTTAGTAAAATTTAATAATTTTCGAATTTTAATTTGTGTTTTTACCATCTTTATAATTGTTTATAATTTTTGTTATAAATTTAGTTAAGTTTTGTATCGATATTTATTTAATATTTCCAAAATTGGATTTGAAGAACTTGGCAAATAACAACACTTGTTGCCGTCTTTATTCTTTTTTGTCAGTATATTTGCATTCACTTTTTCGGCAGTAAAAAATTCTCAAAAAAATTTTTGCATTTCCGCATCTTTGCTTCTTTATTTTTTATTTTTTCTTTTATTTTACAAATAAATGTTTTTTAACGATGCTCACAAAAAAATTGAATTTATTTTATCAATTTTTTAAAATGTTTTATTTAATATGTACTAGCTTCCTTATAAAAACTTTTTTGGAAGTTATCTCAGAATTTGTAAAGGTCTACAGCCAAAATTTATTAGGTACTATACACTCTGTTTATTTTCATAGTGATTAAATACTTTTAATAATTTCTATATAACCATTTCCACCTCTTATTCTCCCCTTTCTTCATTTTTAATGCCAAATTTCTTGGCACATTTTTTGGTTATTTTGTTTGTTCTTTTAGTTGTTTTAAATCCCCTCAGGGCTTTTTTTATAAAAAAGTAAAAGGAAAGCTCTTCGTTCAATAGGAAATTATTGCTTTTGTGCCCATCCCAAAAAAGGGAATTTGAATCAGAAAATGGGGGTGAAGGAGCAAACGTTTTTACGTGAAGAAATATTATCTGGAAAAAATATTTAGATGAATGAGTTGTTTAAGTGTTATGTTCTCCAAATTCTTCCAATTTTTTAAACAATAAGAGAGTACGGCTACTTCGCTATTTTAGTTATTTTATTTTTGCCCTTTTTTAAAAAATAAATCCAATATGTATATTATGGAAAAATATTAATTTAATACATACCCTCTTAATTCATTAAAATAATTGTTTTAATTAACTATCATAACTTAGATATGTAATTAACTCATTTGATAATTATAAATGTTTTACTCTTCCCATCTTTTTCCCATAATAATGTTAATCACCAATATTGCCTTATTGCTACCGCCTTCAGCATTATCCTCCTCATCTTCACTTTTTTGTCCAGCAATGGAATGCCCCTCACAGATTTTTAAAGAAAAAGAGAAGAAAATTACTTCAAAATTTGAACAATCGTCTACTTCTAATAATAAAAATAAGAAAAAACTCGAAAATTTATTTCACTTCATTGCATTAACACAGGCATTATTTTAAATATTTAAGATAAATATTTACCTAGAAATTAAAAAATAATTATAACCTCATCTAAAAATTTTTTTACTTTAAAGGATTGTCAACTTATAATTTCCCGTCCAGATCAACTTTCAAAATTATCATCATTACAAATTAATTATAAATTTAACGAATGTAGTTCTAATAAAGTTAAATTAGTATGGCATTTTGTTTCAAGTACTCCTTCCCTTTTACTCTTCCAAAAGAGAACAGAAAATGAATTGTGTGTTCTTCCAGTTGAGACACCCAATCCTTTGAATATTCAAGGAAATGAACTTTTTTGGTTTTTTATTTTTAAATTACCTAATTTAAATTCTTTTCTACAAAAATCAGTTATTCTATACGTTCATCCCTCATCCATCATGCAAAATGTTCTCGTCTGAATGGAATTAAAATTGAAATAGAAAAATTATTTTCGGATGAATTATATTCTGATTTATTTTATTTATTGGAATATTCATTTTCAAATAATCCTACTTTATTACATCAATTAAGACTTTCATTAAATGGGCAATTAAGGATTACAGGAGAACTCTTTCCTGTTGCTTCCCATATTAGATTTAATAATTTATCTCCAGATTTTCTGCTTTCAAATGATCCACAAACTAAAAGACTTTTTATTGTTCCACAAAAGTTAAATGAAAATTCTATGGTGGAATGGACTTGTCCTTTTGATTTGTTATACAGGCAAGATTATATTTTTGTAATATAATGTGGAATCTCAAATATTTTGACTCGAGATAATTATCAAGATTAATGGAACCCTAACCCTTCATTTTAAAACCTACGGTCCAGTGCTATAGGTGTGTGCGGTCACTCTGGGTGAGTAGACTAAAACAAATATTTGAGATTCAACTTTTAATTCCTCAAACCTAAACAGACTGATATTTTTGAGATTATTTCGAGAAACCCAAAATAATTAATTCTAATTTCAAGGCAAGAACAGGCACAATTTCAACGCTTTCAAATTTTACCAAACAGAAGGTAAAGTTCTAATTAAAATTTTAATTAATTAAAGTTTAAAATAAAGATCCTCATTACAACAACAATGGAAAATCAGCGGCTTTTCTGTCGATAGAAATTTAATTGCATTTACCGTTTCAAATTTTTCTTCTCCTTATTTTACCAAAAATCCCTCAACAGAATTATTTCTTGCTAAAATACCATCTGATAATTCAAAAACAGTATCTATAGCAGAAACTCATTGTGCTCTTAATTTAATGCCTTTTGATATTAATTTTATGATAATTAGTGAAAAAACACTTGCTGAGTTGACAACAAGAGGGCCTCTTCCACAAATGGGTTGTTTTTAATTTTCAAGTTAATATTTTTTATTTTTAGACGAAACATTAATTGAGAAACTCAATAGAAACAAATATAGACATGCTACAAAACTCGATGAAAGACTACAAAATCAAGTAAAACAGCAAAAAACAACAACAAAAACATTTATTGCCATAACAAAATTTTTAAATAAAATAACTACAAATCCAACAATTGCTTCAACAACATTTCAAACAACAATTGAAAAACAGACAAAAACAACAATAAAAACACCAAACATAGAAAAACAAACAAATTTTGGAGTTAAAACAACGCAACAAACACCAAAACAAATATCAAAACAACCAACAAAACCAGAACAAAATAAAAACATTGAGGTTAAAACAACAAAACAAACAACAACAGAAACACCAGAACAAACTCAACAAACAAAAACAAATTTTAAGTCTGAAACAGAAAATTCTGGTTCTTCGATTCATTCAATTCCAATTCGTGTAAAACCGGAGAGTGATAATGAAGAGGAAGGGGAACAATTGGGAGATTATATTTATGTTGAGGATCCGTTAATGGAAGAACTAGTAATTAATAATTAATTAATTTTTAATTAAAATATTATTTTTTAATAATCTATTTATAGCCATTTGATGAGGAGAATGAATTACAGAATGATGAAGAAGAACATAATCTAGTACCGCTGCCTGGGGAAGAAGTGGAGGAAGTAAATGAAGAAAATGAAGAAAGAGAAATTCAAAACCAAACAGAAAGTCAAAGTTTAAATTCGGCAATTTTTAGGAAAGAAATCGAAAGATTGATATTAATAGTTTTTACATTAATATTAATAATTTTGAGATATTACTAAAATAAAAGATTGGAGTAACTCATTGTTTGGGAACTGTTTTATACTGATTCCTAGATCTAGCAAAAGATCATTTTCATGCAACCGTTATAACAAAAGTTTTCTATCGAAGTTTATTTTCTTTAGATTAACAAAAATATATTTCTTGTATTTAACATATAATTGATGGCTTAAAAAATGATTGAGGGCTTATTTTTGAAAAAATCTCATAAACATTATTTCAACCAAAATATTACACACAAACATAGCCTTCAATTAAATTAAAATAATTTAAACAGTAAATTCAAAACATCCATCAAGTAAAGAACGCCTTTCATCTGTACTTCCAGACTGATGACTTCCTTTACGTTTATTTTGTATATCACCAGGAATTAGTGTTGTAGTTGATTTGTGAATTGATGGAGTTGGTATTGGAAGAGAAGATGGGGAGGGTGGAGGTAGAATTTTTGGCAATTGAAGTTTTAAAGAATCTGCTCTACTGGGAATGTTTGTTTGTTGTTGTGTTCTGAAAAAATAGAAATTATTAAAAATCTGAGAGAGAGAGAGATAGAGAGAGCCCATTCATAGTGATATGTGTAAAAATGTACTATAAATACCCTTGAATTTATCCTCATTCAACCAACTCAACAGAGGCTCCGTTCATCTACTCATCTGCTACTCGTCTACTCACGCTCATTCGTCGACCATGGCTACTCCGATTGCTGTGGATCCTGACTCTGTTGTTGTGGAGGCAAACGGCGGGACTTCACCAATCGTTCTGGAGAATGCAAGTCCTCATGTAAGTCCTCAAGTCCTCCTCCTCCATCCTTTACATCGTTTAATCTTTCTTTTTTATTTAGAATCGCTACTGCTACAAGGTCAAGTCGACGAACAATGAGCACTACCGTGTCAGCTCTGTCTACGGATTCATTGAACCTCTGGGCTCTGTGAAGATCGACGTGAACCGATTGGTGAGGAGTTTTGGATTTTGAACCTTTTAATAACTCGACTGATCTTCTTTTATTTTTTCTAGCCTGGCCCGCCGAAAAGTGATGATCGTCTGGAGATTCTGTTCCAGCCTGTCGAAGCTAGTCAAACTGATCCGAAAGGACCATTCGCCAATGGAGCATCGGAGTTCAAGCTGGATGTGAAGCTGTGCGCGGAATGAAGAGGGCTTCCTTGAGACGAAGACGATAATAAAAGCTGTGATATTCCTCTCGATAGAAAGTATATGTATGCCTCATAAATGTATATATGCCCCCTAAATGTCTTTGTATTAGACCCTCAATTCTTAGCGTTCACTTTGTTGTATAATATATGGTTCTTTTTACTCACCCATTGTTGTTGTTTTTGTGTATATATTTTGGTTCAATAAATTTGTAAATTTTGTGTTCATTGTTTTGATAGGATTAAATACCAATGGGTATTTGAGTTAATATTTCTGTTTGAGCATTGGTACAACTCAGACATTTTTATGTTTGAGAGTGCAAGTCTCCATGTAAAAACAAATTTCTCCCAGGCTTCGTGTTTCTTAATTCCGATGGGTAAAATACCACACCCTGTGAAGGGCTTTGCTTGTGAAAGAGATTCTTGAATTTTCCATAAATTTCACGTAAATCTCATTTTTACCTTCAAAAAGATAAATAAACTAACTGGCTTGTTGTGGCATTTTGTTGTGCAGGTAAAGGACGTAAAGCAATTGGAGTTAACTGATTCTGCTTTTGTAAACGTGTTTTTCTTCCAATTTCAATTGGCGTTAAAGGAGTAATATTTTCTTCATCCCTTATTGTATTATTGTATTTAATTAAATCATTTGTATCGCTTTCCAATAAACGTTCTTTTGTTAAATGTGAAATAATTCCACAGCCAAAACCATCACCTAAGGAGACAAAAACTTTTTCTTAAATGTTCTAAAAAATAAAAAATAAGGCTAGAGAGCACAGAATACTTTTCTGAGTCTTTAAGTCTATAATATACTACCTAAAACATTAACACTTGTCCGTATTCTATCAAGCAACCAATCGACATAAAAATATAATTATTAAAATATTTTTTATTTTAAAGACTCACTGTAAGTAATAAACTTAAATCTTTATGAGGTAGTCCAACCTAGAAATAATTAATCAAAATTTTTCATTTATTTAAAAACATACAGTTGTTAAAACAAGTGTCAAAACATCCAAACCTTCAAAATAAATAAAGATTAAATAAATTATTTTAAACTTTTCACCAGCTGGAACAGAGCCTGAACCTATAGAAGCTACTGTAGTTGTAATACTTAATTAATTATTTTTGCGAAAAATATTTTTTTTATTTCAGACCTTATAGTTAAAATCTCTAAAGCAGTAAGCTTGACATTATGTAATTGTGCAATAAATATAACCTTTTTTTAATAAAATTTGAAAATATTTTTAATTAATTAATTAACTGCAACAGCTTCATATAATGCTGTTCCATCCTTTAAAATATTTTAAAAAATTAAAAAAATATAATTTAGGTAATTATTGCCATAGTTATTGTAGCACCCAAAGGGAGTACAAAACGTGTAACACGTCTATCAATTTTTAAATTTTGTTCTAATGCCCGAAAAGTGACTGGAAGTGTGGCACCACTGGAAAAATATTCTTAATTTAATAAATTTTAAAAAACCTCGAAGCAGTCCCAAAAGCTGTAGCTATCGCTTGAAGCTTTTTAAAAATATTTAAATTTATTTTTAATTTAAATAAACCATTCCAGTCATAAAATCAAAAGGTGAATGTCTCGTAATTATATAATAAAGTAATGGAAGTGTTAATAATGAATGTATCATTAAACCACAAATTACAGTTACCTTTTAAATGAAAAATAATTTCATTAAAGAATTTCATTTTATTTTTAAAATATATTTATTTTTAAACTCACTTACAACGTACATAGCCAATGCCTAAAATTTTATTCTTAATTAATGGATATTTTAAAAAAGAGACACCTGGGCTGTAGCAGTAAGGTCATCTATATCAACAATATTTTTGCAAACAAGTGAGAGAATACCTATTGGATAACACCTTTTAATTTTAAATAATTTTAATTTTGTAGGAAATTTTAAATTAATTTATTACCACATTAAAGCGCTAATCCAACGCATAATAACCTAAATATATCTTGAAAATTTTAAAATCACTTTCTTTCTTATTCATGCAAAAATATAGGGAAGATTGTTTAGGGAATTCTAATCCCTATTAATCACCCAATTAATTAATTAAAATGAATTCATTCTTTAATTTTTTGAACTAACAACTAGTTATTTTAAGATAGATTTTTTAAACCGCCTCTAGCTTATTTGAATTTTAATAAGATTGAATGAGTATATGTTCAAATATTTTAATTTACAAAACTAACAGCATCCAAAACAATGAAGAAATTAATCATTAGCCTAGCCTGATCACCCAAAACCGACAAAATAACACCAAATCCAGTACAAAAAACTAATAGGCCAAGAACATTAACTTCGTTTGTATATTCCAAAATCTGTCTTTTTAAAAAATTTAATTTTTTTATTTAAAATAATTTTTAACAGGTTTTAGAGGTATTTTTGCTGTTGTTGTGTTTGTTGAATTAAATAAAGGTTTGGAAGGGGGAACTCTTGGGGGTTTGACTGGAACATAATTTGTTTGGACTTGTTGAAATGTTGCCTTTAAATTAACTTGCAATATTAAATATATTTTAAAAATACTTGGACAATATTTTCTGGGAACATATTTCTAATTTGATCCAAAAATGTATCAAGTGGCGATAAAGCTCTTAAAATAATAAAGAAATATTTAAATTAATTAATTTTTTTTATTTTATTAAATGATTCATTTTTAATAAGTTTTCCAGATCTTTAAAGTTTGTTTAAATTCTCATAACTTTTAAAAGTTTAGACTTCAATACAACCTCTACTTTTTTATTGAAATATTTTTTTATCTAAACAAACGTGTCATCTAATGTCCCCTCTCCCAATTCGTGTATAAGTTGAGGATCACCGGGATGAATACAAGAAACAAGCAAAATTCCTGTCTTTGAATAATATTTTAAAAATAATTTTCTTAATTCACAAAAACATACAAAAGTTGAAAGAAATGTTGTTGTCATATAATAGGCTGTAATTGGTATATTTTAGAAAATTATAATTTAAATTTCAACAGACCAACAGTTAATAACCCCATTCTGCCAGCCACAGAGGGGCGTGTCTGTGCTAATGCAGAAATTACTGAGGAAATTGTTAATGGAAGAATCTTTTAATTTTTAAATTATTTTTTAATTAAAATATATTAACCATCATTTCAACAATTTGCATAAATATTTCCCCTGGAAATCCAATTAAAGAAATTGCATCATTACTAAAATAGATTTTTATAGGGAAAGGCATGAACTTATTTAGTGAATTTAAGCTAGTTAATGTTTGTTGTGGTAATGAATGATTTAAATTTGTGTGTATATTTCAAAATCTGGATTGACTAAAAAAATTCTCTACAAAAATTATATTAATTAATATTTCAAGTATTCATAAATTGGAAAATATTTTAATCAAAAATTTAAGCAATAATTTCCTTTAAATTTAATAAAAGAAAAAAATTTATTTTTAACCTTGGATCTAATTGTCGTATTATAAATCCAAGAACAACGCCAATCACATAAAATTAAAATATATGTATATTTTAATATTTGAAAGTTGAAAATAAATTTTAAAAATTTTTTAAATTTAAATATTTATTTAAAAAAATATATTTATTTATTTATTTACCACAGATTCAACAGTAACTACCAAAAGTAATTCTTTTTTCATTACGATTTGAATGGCAAGTTTTCTGAAAACAGTCTTTTCATTCTAATAATTAAATTTATTTATAAAAAATTTTCTGTAAAAAATTAAATTATTTTTTATGAAGAATTACTTCAACTTTTAAATAAGTATTTAAAAGATTATCAGTTAACAAACAAAAAAAAGAAGAATAAAAGGGAATGAGGGAAAAAAGAAAAGGACTCCTTTTCTACCTAATATAAAATATTTAAAACAACCGGCGGAAATTGAGCGGCTGCCTAATTTTTGGAAAGTTGATAATATAAATATATTATTTAGGAAGCGAAAATGTTTTTATGATAATAACAATCGATTATATACGAGAGATTAAATAAAAGTAATTTTTTAGTATTTTTAAGAGAAAGGAAAATATTTAAAACTTTTATAAAAATGTTCAGAATATTATTTAAATTATTTAAATATTATTAAACGTCATAAAATATTTTGCATTTTTTGATATAAACAAAAGAGGTAGACATTAGATAAAGAGTTTTTTAAATGTTCATTCGAGTATTACTTTTATTTTTAGATGGATCATTAACTTCTAACATTATAAATGATTACACATACTAGGGTTGTTTGTCCTGGACCGACCGAACCGAAGAACCGATGATTTTTCGTTTCAACTCTTCGGTTCGGTTTCAGATATCCAAGGAATTTCCAAGAACTGACAGCCCTACTCTCTGCTGATAATTATTGCCAAGCCAAGTAATTTTAGTAAATCATCGTTATAATCGTCTTGTCATATTATTATTTTATAAAAAGGTTAATTATGTGTAAACCTTCAATATTTTATTTTATTCATCTTACAATAAAATTTAATTTTAATTAAGAATTTTTAATCAAATTTGGGAGAATATTTTTTAATTCAATTCTTTTCAATGAATACAGTCACGTTCTTCCCCCTTAAACTTTCCTTCTAATTCAATCGTACCAGCGTCATAATATGTATTTGGCTTTTTGCCTTCTGTAATATATTTGTCTGGAATCTAAAAAGAAATTCTCAAATTTTATTTTTCTAAAAGTAAACTTTCTCTATATCTCGACTAAATAATTAGCAAATATAAATTACCATTATAGAAATTTTTCTTTGGCAAGGAGTCGTTCCATCATTACAATCGTGATATACATTAAATTTTGGGTCAATATCAGTAATTTCATGTGTATGCCCCTCCAATTTGAAATAACCTTTTTTATCTGTATATCCTTTAGCCTAATTAAATATTTAATTTAAAAAGAAAATTCGAAAATAAATAACCAATAAATCGTCGGGATCACCTCTATCTTCGTCATAAAGTTTGACTAAAACATTTGCGGCAGGTTTGCCTTGACAGGTTAAATAGCCTTCTACCCCTGAACTTTGTAGACGTCCTATACTGATTCCAAAGAGTGGAGAGGGATTCGGTGCTGGATTAGAGTTTATTTTAGTTAAGAAAGTTAAAATTAAAATTAAAGAAAATGAAAAGTAGAAAGACATTCTTGCTAAAAAAATAATTTTTTTAATAAACAGCGAACACAATAACAAAAAAAACTAAAAAATTATTTTTGTTTGATATTTGAGGATATACTTAAAGTTAAAACAAAAACACATCATGGTTAATATCGAAACTTATGGTTAGCTGGGAATGAGTCAACGTTTTATGTTAAAAGGATTTATGAATGGGCCCATTCCTGATCAGAGGTAAAATCCGGTTCAAAAATGGTCCATTTTGGTAACGTTTAAGCAGTTGTTGTGCAGAAGTTAATTAATGATATTTTTAATATTGCAACAAATCATAGGGTATCATCAGTCTTAGTTACTTAATATATTAATTATATAAATATTTTGATGGCTTTAGAAATTGTTTTAATTAAAAGTAAGCTCATTGGGAATGTCCGCAAAAGTCACCTTAATATGTATCACCCCAGCAATTCCTTCCTCAATTTTACTATTAAATAAAAATTAAAACTTTTAAGAGTATACTTTAAAATAAAATACTTAAAACACTATAAATATTTTTTTCAAAATAAAATTTGAACAAAAATATTATCAATCATTCTTTTATTTAAAGAAATTTTTAGGCGGAAAACAATAATAAAAATACACCAAATTGCGTTTTAAAGTTGTCAAAACTTTTTAAATTAAAACTGATTATTCATTGAACAATAGAAAAGAATGAATCACTAAAATTATTTTTGAAATTAAAATTAAAGAAATTGTCGTCTTTGTTGGCCATTTTTGTTCATTCTGATTAATGTCTCAAATAATTTATCGTTTAATTTATCAAATCTCACAAAATTTTTGCTGATATACTAAAAAACTATTTTTGTTTTTTACCAAAAATAAATTTTATTTGTAAAACAAAAACTAAAAAATAACTCCTTTATTTTTTTAAAAATAACTCCTCTTTTTAATTTTACAAATTACAGACAAAGAAATTAGTGGAAATTTTACGACGATGACGACCTGATGACCACCTATTCATAGCCTTTGAAGTTTTTCCATCAACTCCAACCTCTCCCGCACCCTTTTTCTCTTTCGATGCCGTTCCAGTCTTCGTTCCGATCCTCCTTTACTCTGTTTTGAATCTTCGCCTTTTTACTTCATGTCTCTGACTTCCAAGTAGATTGGAACTGACACTGGAGCACCTAAAGGACTTTAATCAAGAGAAAGCTCTAACACTTGCTATAAACAAGCTTGTACTTTTTGTGATTTTATAAGGAAAGAGCATGTAAAATGGAATTAGGAGAAAAAGGTTAGGTAATTTGAGAGACTTACTGTAATTTCCATATTTCTCTCATTTTATTGTTTGTTTGAATAAACACAATTTTGTTTGCCTACAATTTATTTCTAAACACATTAACACAATTAATTTATTCTGTGATTATTTTTGATACAATACAAGTACAAATACAATAATATATACAACTCACAAATAATCGGTTATAATTAATCATAGAGGAAAGGCTTATGACAATCTAAACGATCTACACAAAGTTTAGGGGAAAGAAATACAAATTTTACAAATTAGAGACAAAGCAATTGGTGGAAATAATTATCATTTTTAGGCTTATCATCAGAAAGGTGATCTGGACTTCTCCTTCCTCTCTTCAACGCCTTCAGAGATGAGTTTGCGCGCGCTTCTTTCCTCCATTCAGAGCTTAGTCGGCTTCTTCTTCTGCTCCTTCAGTGCTGGCGGCAGAGGGGCAGCATGCTTCCGGTCCTTCTTGGAGGATGACTTCCCACGGCTTGCACTTCCACGGCTTGCACTCCGGCTTCGAGAACGACCGCCGCCTAAATGAAAAAAAATTTATGACGTTACAAGAGTGAAAATTGTAAAAATTCACCTTTCTTTTCCTTGCGTCCTTTGGATCCACCACCAGACTTCTTACTGCGCGCTTTCCCAGCTTCAGCCTTGGATTTCGGTGCTGAAAATAGTAAGAAGATTGTTATTTTAACTTTACAATCCCCAAATTTAATTACCTTCCGTCCCAGCAGTATCGCTTGCCGAACCAGCTTCCTTCTTGCTACTGCCAGCCTCCTTCTTACGACGATGTCGACCAGAAGAACCACTTCGCTTCTTGGTTTTCGAAGCTTTCCCAGCTGTTCCAGCGTCACTCTCACTAGCTGGAGCCGGCTTGCTACCGCTTCTCTTGCTCTTTGCCTTTTTCCCTTTCGGTGCTTTGGCATCACTCCGTTCTGATGTTCCTCTGCTCTGTTCTGTGTCGATAGTAGCAGCGCCCTTTCCAAACAATTTCCTCACTTCAACCGGTGAAACCAGATAGACGGGAACTGGCGTTGGAGCTCCTGGACGGCGAGCACGTAGAGCAAATGGTCCACCAGCGCTTTCGTCACTTCTGCTTCCCGAGCTGACTGCCTGACTTTCCTCACTTCCAGCCACCGAGCCCTCTTTCGCTGCGCCGCCCTGTAAATAGAAAAATTTTAAATTCGAAACAAATATGTATTACATATGAAAAGAAACCAACCTCAGACTCCGCAGGCATTGATGCGTCTACAGGATACAGCGTGACATAGTAGATGACGGCAACCACAATGGAGAGCAGCAGCAGAACAAAGAACATGTTGACGAAATGCCGCGCCTTTGAGATGAGTTGTTGGGCCGTACGTTTGCAGGTCCGTAGAGTCGAAGATTGTTGATAGGTTTGCCAAGCTTTTTAGGAGCTTTTATAGTTTTTGACTATTTTTAGAACCCAGCCTATTCTTGTCATGAACCCTATAAAAGCTTGCCTCGAAGTACTCCAAACAACCTCTTCAATACTAGCAACTCCAACCAACTCCAACCTTCGCGCTCTTCACTCTTCAAATGTAAGTTTCACTTATCTTTATCTATTGTCTAATTCATCACTAATTTTTCTCAATTTTTCAGGCTGTTGACAACTCCCGACGACAGGATCGTGTTCCCGGTCAAGGAGGACTCGCCGCCGGAGCCGCTCGTGGAGCTGAAGATCGAGAACAAAGGAGACACGATCCAGCTCTACAAAGTCAAGTGCACGAAGTAAGCGCCAACCATTTTGCGTCGTTAGTGCATACCTAACTCGTCTTTTACTTTTCAGCAATGAGCTCATCAAGATCCGGCCCCCTGTCGGCATTCTGAAACCTGGAAGCTCGGCGACGGTTAGGCTTCTTCTCCTGACCAAGGAAGACCTGCCAGAGGACGACCGCCAATGTTTGTTGCTGCACTCTTCATTTTTGCCACAATCAAGCTTTTTTCCTTTTCAGACGTCGCGGTCTACAACCACGACACCGAAGACTCGAACACGAAGGCGCGAATGCAGTGGGACATGGTCAAGAAGGAGCAGGGCATCAAACGTCTATACGTGCGCTTCGAACGCGAATAGGACGGAAGCGGAAGATGCGTGATGATCATGAAGTGCCACTGTGATTGCCATGTAGAAAAGATTCTCACCCTTGTGATATATTCCCACTGTATATTTTGTCCTATATGTTGTGTAATCACTCTCATCCTATTATGTTGTAAATGTATTTTTGTTGTGATAATCTATTGCCCAAACATTGTTGTATATATTGTTTGTTGAAAATAAAATTTTGTATGAGTTTGGCTTTCTTTTATTTTTTGACTGAGATATAGGAATAGGGAGAAGTTAAGGAGTTTGAAAAACTGTTTGTGCCCTTTGACTGAGGTATAGGAATAGGGGTATAGGAATCATTGAAACTCCAAATGATCATTAAAATGAATCATGTGTTTTTCCACAAAATTTTGGTAAGAGAATTTCCCAAATCCCTTATAAATTTTGAAAGTTATTGCCTAGAAATTTCCAGAACAAATGTGATTTAATTCGTTTCATTGCCCCGATATAAAAGAACAGAAAAAAGTTTAGCCTTTTATTCCTAATGTCTAATAGAAATCGCTTTATTTTCTTGACATAGTATGTATTCTTAGTACCATATAAAAATCTTTATACTAAAGTATGGACACTTTATGCTTGCACTTTAATTCTCACTAACGGCAAAAGTTTACCAACGAGACTGGAATAATTTACGAGAAATAAGAATTCTTTTTATTTTTAAAAATACTTATAAATACATTTTTGATTGAGCAAAAAAATGTTAAAAATAAAATTTTGTAAAAACTGTTAACACTATGCTAAAGCAAAATAATTTTGAAATTTTCATACATATGTATGTGGTGCCGCTAATATTTGTTATTCCTAAAATCAAATCAAATTTTAAAATTTTGCTTCAAATAAACAATTAAAATAATTGGGGGTAGTTTAAAATTTTATTTAATTTTCTTTTCTTCTGTTTTTCCTTTTTCAGAAATTAATAAAATTATTTTACTAGGAACATCAGCAAATATTAATGTTCCCCCAAAAACAAGTGTAGCACCTAACCAGTGTGCTGGAGTAAATAAATTTCCAAACCAAAATATTGAAATTAAAAGGGATAGAAATTTGCGTAGAGTAACAACTAAAAATTAAAAAGATTAAAATTCTTTTGAATTTTTGACAACATTTTCTAATTAAATTTAAAGCACAAAAAGTATTTTTCTTATTTTTAGTCGCTAAGTTGACTAAAAAAATTGAAATCAAGGATATTCAAAAAACTTCATTTCCCATAAATGCAAAAAATGGTAAAGAGACGGCACGCTTTCATTCATTCTTCCCTTACTACCTCATATTTAAAATAAAATTTCTAAAATTATTTTCTAAATTTTGATTACCAAGTGTAACAGAAAGAGAATCAATAGAAGCATTTAATCTATAAACAAACATAATACAAAACCATTGAAGAAAGGCAACTGCCAATAATTGTAACCAAAGAGTTGATATTGGCAAGAGAAAACCAAAAAATTCTGGTTTTGGACCCAGAGAAAATCTTTCAAAAAATCAGAAATTTCTTAGAAATTTAAATTTACTTTTCTGCACTTGCTGCTATATCATTTCCCATAAATGCAAAAAATGGTAAAGAGACAGCATGCTTAATTTAATGAAAAATATTATTTTTTAAATTCACTCAAAAAAATCTAAAAAATATTTTTAATTCACCGTATAAAACATAGCTTCTCTTGGATGTTTTCCATAAATTCTATACATTCTTTCTTGACATATAGCTAAAAGGGAAGATATCAACAAAGCGGCAGTTAACATAAAAATTCCGATAAGCCATTCACGGTAATGTTTTTCGGCTTGTTGACGGGGCAATAAAGAATCTGCTTTCTTTAAAAGGGGGAGAATTAGGAAAATTGTTAAGAAATTTAAGAAAAAGATTCTTGTTAAATCCATATATTGAATCGGGTACAAAAATGCTAGTGTTTTACCGGAACCAAATTTTGACCGGAACCCGATCCAATTTGAGTTCCGGTTCCCGGAACCAAAAAACACCGGGGCTTTCCGGAACCGGAACTTCCGGTGAAACCCTAAAAACTTCCGTCCTGTGAAACCCTAATTCCAGTAAAACCCTAATCTACTCGTACTCTACGTTTTAAACAAAAAAAGCACCTTTTCAAGTCCAGCAGTAGCTAATGTACACAAACAAATCCCAATAGTAATTGCAAAAACAGAAGCATATTTACTGACTGAATATTTCCTCCCAAGTAAAAGCCGATTCATTAATAAAGAAGTTAATAAAGATCCAGAACGGAAAATAATGTGTAAAGGAACGGGAACGTGAAAATTTAATGCTTGGTTGTTAATTACATTACAGGCAAAAAAGGCAAGAACAACTGGCAAATAACCTCTAAAAATTAATTTTTTTAAATTAAAGACTTTCCCTTCCTTTACCTTAAAGAGATTTTGTTTTTGACGGTGAAAAATCGAGTAGTAAATATTAGACCCTCAATGCTGATGAATAACTTTAAAAAAGAATAATTTAAGGGGAATTAAAATAAAAATATTTTTAAAGTCAATTCTCTTAATATTATTTCTTTATTTTCAATAAATCCCGATCCCCAATTTTCAGTAACTTAATATATCCGAAATTTCCTCATTACCACACTTGTAGCCAGTGATGCGGGGTTCCGGTTCCGGTTCCGGAACCGGTGCGGTTCCGGTTCCGGTTCCGGAAGTGGAACCCTGGAACCGGTAAAAGTCCGGAACCGGTTTGGAACCGGAACCGTGGAACCGGCAAAGGTCTGGAACCGGTTTGGAACCGGAACCGTGGAACCGGTAAAGATCCGGAACCGGTCTAGAACCGGTTCCAGAACCGGTTCCAAAGATACACCCCTAATGATGGGTAAATTCAGAGAAATGAGCAAAAGATGGAAGGTGTGAGAGGAAAAGGAAGAGAAAATTGAGTCGAGTAAAAAAGATTTTCTTTTTTTTTTCTGTTTTTTCTTCTTATCTGGGTTTTAACAAAAAAGTTAAACATATTTTTAAATAGACGGCGCAAAAAATGCGCTGCGGCGCAAAAAATGAAGATTTTTGGCTCAAGGATCTTCCAAAATACTCAAAATTTTCGCCTGCGGCGCAAAAAATAAAGATTTTTGGCTTAAGAATCTTCCAAAATTCACAAAATTTTCGCCTGCGTCTTAAAAAGGATTCTGGCCTTATGTATCTTCTGGCCTTATGTAGTGGATAAAAGCAAACGGTTATAACTTTGTCAGATCAAGTCAGATTATTTTGATTTTAGTGTCTTGTGACTCAACTCGATGAGCTCTTGCGAATGAGCTATCATTTGCATATTCGAATTTTTCACCCCAAAAAATGTTTGGTCCCTTTTTCGATTTTCGGAGGCCTATATCTCTGCGAGTTTTCGTCTCCCGCAAGAAATTCTTGCATATTTGAACTCGGCTCGAAGAGACGAATTGAATGATATATACTTCGAGTTTGGATCTCAGTGGCCCTATACTAAAGTACAGCCAAAATTTTTTGGAACCGGAACCGGTTTGGAACCGGTTCCAGAACCGGAACCGGAACCGGGCAAAATTGAAAAAGCGGTTCCAGAACCGGAACCGGAAAAATCAAAAAAGCGGTTCCAGAACCGGAACCAGAACCGGGCAAAATCAAAAAAGCGGTTCCGGAACCGGAACCGGAACCGGCGACATTTTGGAATTTCCGCATCACTGCTTGTAGCCCCTAAAGAGAGTTGACATTATATTAAAATAATGAAATTAAAATATTTTTTAATTATTACAAAGGTAGCAAATGTGAGCAAATTCATCGCAGAAGGAGCTTGTCTAGAAATAAATAAAAAGAAAATATTTTTGAGTTTATAAATTGTAAGGCTAAAAAATGTTTTGATTTTTGAAACTGAGTGCAATAAATATTATTTAGACTCTCAACTTATTAACCCGCTAATTCCACTAATTTAAAATCCTCCTTACACTATATATATTTAACCCCGGTGGGGTATGATTCCGTGCACACGATTCCGTGCAGGCACGTTTCCGTGCACACGATTCCGTGCACACGTTTCCGTGTCCGTCATAAAAAACACGTTTCCGTGCCCAATTTCTTTTTAATATAATAAACCATAAGAAAAGGTTTTGAGGGGTACAGTGAATATCAAGGGACTTGTGCATGACATCGAGACATCAACAATGGGATATTGGTCTACTATGACCAACAGAATCTTCGCTGGAAAAACTGTTCGCTGGAAAAACTGGTCTAACCTATGACCAACAGAATCTTCGCTGGAAAAACTGTTTTTGTGCTGCTACGGAGGGTAGGCCGGGCATGGTCTTCGCTACACGATGGCCGTGCTTCGCTGCGGTCGTGCTCGCTTCGCTCGCGGCGACCGTAGCGAAGCGGCGGCCGTCGTTCCGCTCGACATGCCCGGCTTCCTCCTCAGCGGCAAAAACTTTTTTTTTGAATTGAAAAGAAAAATACTGAAGCAAAGTTGATAAGTTGATAAAAATAAAAAGTTGATAAAAAAAGTTGACAAAAAACCAAGACTTCACCCCAGGACCGAAAGTTGAGGTATACACAAGGGGGATGAAATATACAAGGGGGATTAAAATTTAAAAAATTTTAAAATTTTATAAAAATTTAAAAAATTAAAAATATTTAAATAATTGGGCACGGAAACGTGTTTTTTATAACGGACACGGAAACGTGTGCACGGAATCGTGCCCGCACGGAAACATGCATGCACGGAATCGTGTCTAACCGATTTAACCCACTTGGCTAATGATTCAACACAAACCATACATCCAATACACCCACTAAGTGCCCCAAAAACAGAAAATACAGCATCGGCCATTATTTACAATAAATTTAAAAATAAAATAAAAACTAAAATATTTAATGTTAAAATAATTTTCTTTCTTTTTATTAATGATTTTATATTTTTGAAGAAGAAAATTAGTGAATTTTTTTTATGTCATTTAGTGTTTGTATTTTATATTATGTACAAATATTTTCTTATCAAAAATTTAAAAAGAAACAAAAAAAATTAAAAGATTGGGATGTTAAGGCGCAGAAGTATTTACCTTAACATGAAAACTTAAAGAATTTATAAAAAATCAAGTAACCTAAAGATTAATACATACTTATATGTTACATTTTCAGACTGATGTAAAAAAATATGTAATAAAATGTTAATCATAAATTAACTTTAAAGTTAAAAAGAAAAGTAACACACCTAGACTGATTAAATTCTTTTAAAAAGAAAAAATAATAAAATAGAAAATGTTCTGATAAAATCAAAATTAAATTTACACAAAATATACGCGCAAACTACAAAAAAAATTTAAAAAAAAAGAGAAGTTTATAGAAAAAAAAGTAAAAAGGGGTTTATCGTCTATTAGAAGTGTCCCAATGGAATTCTCAGCCGGCGAAAAATAAATCGATTACCGGTGCATTATTTTTGCTTTTAATGTTTTAACCCTGCCAAAAAAAAGTAATTCTCGACGTTCCTATGACAATTAACACTCTCAAAATATTTTTAAAATTTAATTTAAAAAATAAACTTAATTTGTAACTTTTTTTAATTAGCACATAAGGTATAATTTTAACTACTACTTGAAGTAGGTATATTAAAAGGCTAAAAAATTTTCTTGATGTACATAAATATGTATGTGTTATACATAGTATTTTATTTATTATTTCGTGCATACCTTGCTAAGCTAAATTTAATTTTTAGCAAAAAAATTCGTACAAAATAAATTTTATTTTTTTTCGATTGAATAAACAAATTTACTAAAAATATTTTGATCAAAAATATTATTGAGGATTTAGTTAATCCTTTTCTGTTCTATATATTTTAACTAGTCGACCTTGGATTTTACAAAATAATAATTTAAATTGTACAGAATTCAAAAAAATAAATATTTAGAGATTTTGTTTAGCAGAAATTATTTTATTTTACAATTTAACAAAAAATTATAAAAAGCGAAAAAAGAGAAAATTTTAAGAAATTTAGAATTAATGAGGGGTTAAAAATGCCCAAAATATTTGGAAAATACAAAATAAATTTGGGAGAAATACATAAATTGTATTAAATACTTAAATTTTATCTTGAAATTGAAAAATAAATTTTGGAAGCAAAAATAAAATTTCTATGACCCCAAGAATCTTTTATTGTCCCAACAATGATTTTTTGTTTAAAATACATGTTCGATCCCCGAGGAAATGTAAAATAAGGTTCCTTTACAATATTAAATAATCTGAAATTTCAAGGGGTTAGGAAAAGGAAAAAGAACTTTGTTAGCAGATTAAACAAAACCAAATATACATATTAATGTTTAAAATTACAAAAAAAATATTTTTTGTAATTTATCTATTTAAAATATAAAAACAAAAAAATTTCTAAATGCAAAATGGACGGAATAGCTGGAGGAGAAAATTTAAAGAAAAAAATTAATTTGGAAGTATATTTAGCCGTGACATTTCTTTCACGGTATCCCGACGTTGGTAACCAGTAAGTTCAGTTAATTCAACATATTGTTTCATTGCAAACTGAAAAAAAAGAATTATTAAAAGTATTTGGATTTAAATAATTTTAAAATAAATTTTCCTTTAATGGCAACATTAATTTTTGATGAAAAAATATTTTAATTTTTATTATGATTACTGCGATGAAATTTTAATTTTTCTGACTAATTCTTATTCAAATATTCCCTATAGAAAATTTACCTGAAAATGACAACTTCCTTTGCTTTTCAACGTAACAACTTTTCCCTTATCCTCCATAAAAACAACCCCTCTTTTCAATCTCGGATCATTTCTTTGTACATAATGGCTTAGAATTGTAGCTATCTTTAAATATTTACAAATATTTTTCAAAAAAAATATTTATTTAAAAAAACATTTGCTGTAAACGGCAAAACTAATTGTCCATCACGTAATCGACGAATATTAACTGTTACAACGCCAGAAAGAGATGAACTGACAGAATATGCCCCTCTATAACTCATTTCTTCAATAACAATAGATGCTTCTGTTTGGCCGCCAGCTGGGACTTGGATGTTGTTGTCCTGTTTAATTAATTTTTATTTAAGAAAATATGTATTAGAATAAATATTCTCTTTACTTTCCGTTGTCCTTTGATTTTTACTCCTTTGATTTTTACTGGAACTTTATTTCGTCTGAAAATCCCAAGAATAGACATACCGTATAATTTGTATTAATTGCCCTCCCTCAAGTAGGAGGGCAATTAATTTTTTCCCCCATTTCCATTACCACATCCAGCGATAGATTGAAACAATAATTACCCAGGGTAGTTATAAAAGGATATACGGTAAATCCAAATTCATTTAAAAAATAGGTGTTGTTTTAAAAATCTTTAGGGATGGAAGAGATTACAAAAGTGATTCTACACTAAATTTAAATTCAATTAAAAAAACTAACCACAGCCCAAGTAAGAGTTTCAGATTTAATATTTTCTGTCAATTTGTTAAAATGAACTTCATGTTTAAATCCAGTCTTTAATTCTGCAATTTCCCCTACAAAATATTTTGTATATTTTTGAAATTTATTTATTTATTAATTACCAGGTATTTTTAAAGACAATTCTGCTTCAGCCCCAAAAGTAAATCCTTGCTCTCTAGCTACCCCACAAATTGATTCTGATGTTCTTTCAGTTTTTAACGAATAAGTTTGTGTTTGGCTTGTATTGTTTGTAAATAATGATTTGACTATTTTAAAGAAATTATTTTAATAAATATATCATTGGGACATACATATAGTATTGGGACGAGTGCCAGTCAGTTGAATATTATTATAATTTGGCTGAGCATGAACAAGTATGAGCTTTTTTCTGTTCTATAAATTATAAAATATTGTTAATTTTTACTTAACTTAAAATTAAATAAGGCGGTTCCTCGTAGATTTTAAATACGATTTTTTAATGAGAGGGTGTTTGGTTAATTTTGTTTCAGAAACAAGAAAAACGTCGAAGGGGTCTACAACGGGCTTAGTGTATCCGGATATCCAGATCCGAGAAAAGTAAGGATATAATACGGAGATTTTCGAATTGGATATCAGATTCGATATTCAAAGATTCATTAGGATCCTCTGATCCTAATCTGCAACCCATCTATTTAGAGCTAAATTCAAACACACTCTTTTAGCTTTTAAAGATTTTAAATCATTCTTGTTCCTTTTATTATTTTATCGGTCCACTTTTTTCGATCCAGTCAATTAAATATTGTTTTAAAATACATACAAAGAACACCTACAATTTCAAAATCAGCATCTGCCAATTCAAGATTTTTGAACGATTCTAGTCCAGATCCTTTAATAGTCAACAAATCTTTAAATCGTTGCCAAACATATTCCTCAATTAAAGCATCAACATCTACATGTGTTTCACAAGTAGATGTTCCTCCAACAGATGGTAATGGATCTGGTGACATTGAATTATGATTTATTGTCGGGGCAGATGTTGGCGCTGTTGAGCGATTTGAAGGAGGGGAAGAAGGGTTTTTGACCGGCGATGTGGGGAAAAGTCGCTGGAAATACATATTTTTGTAAATAAATTTTTTTCTTTTTTTATTTTTATTGAGAGAGTGAGAGATGGATTTGAGCGATTGGGAAGCGGAATTGAAATAAATGAGGGAATAAATAAAAGAAGAGCTCCGAATTGGAAAGGAAGGAGGAAAGAAGAAGGCCAATCGAGGAACTCCGCCCTTTCGAACCCCCCCCCCCCTCCCTCCTACTCCTCTCCATTCTTCTCATCTTTTTTCGCCAATGTGTTCCCTTTTCAGGAATTAACTAAACATAAGTTAATAATTTGAGTTCAATATTTCTACCAGCCACCATTTCCCAATGATGGAAAATGTTATGATAATAATTATGTTCTTTTCCTTTATTAACATCTCCCTTAAGTTATCGTTATTCTTTCCATCTCCTCACTTTTAAACTACCTTTATCATGTAATGTAAAATATTAGGCTTGCTCCATATTATGGGAATCTCCTCCCTTTCACCATTTTCTCCCAATTTTTTTTTAATTTTCCGATTTCAAGAATTTTAAATTTAAAATTTCAACAAGTTTTTTAACTTCAACACAAATTTTCATGTCTTCCTTTTCAAATCAAAACTTTTTTTTATTATTTTCATAAAGGAAGGACGTTGATTTTGAACAGCGGGAGAGTTTTGGTGGTGCTTAAAAGAAAAAGGAAAACATAAAAACATTTTTGGTGCTTAAAAATAAAAAGTTGCCACCGTCCCGGGAAAGAAGGATGAAAAGAATTAATTCGGAAAAAAAGATGAGAGAGAGAAGTGTCTCTTGGGGGAAGGAGGGAAGGGGAGTGCGCAAAGTTTAGGGGGGGGGGGGGTGATTTAATACGTACCTCAAAGTCAATGTCACCAAAACATATAAATAAATATAAATTTTCCCGTCATTTTACCTATCAAATAATATCCAACAAAACACTTTAAAGAGGAGAATAGGGCACGCAAACAAAATAAAAATAAATTTTTTTTAGTTTCAATAAAAGTTAAAAAGTAAAGAGGAAAACAAAAGCTTAACACGCATTTTGTAGTTACTTTAAAGATTTAGAAAGTTTGAATAGAAATTTAAAAGGATGAGTCAGCCTAGAAGAAAATAAAATTTTATCTTTAAATTTTATTTTGAATTTTTCGGGTGCCAAAGGGTTATTTGAAATCTCCTTTGTACAAAAATAAAGAAATGAATAATTAATTAAATTATGTATTATTAAAAATATAAATGTTTTTTTCTCAAGCAAAATATTTTAAAATATAGAAAAATAATTTATTTAAAAAATACAGATTAGATAAAAGGAATTCAACAAAAACTTTTACAACAAAATGAATGAAATACTTTTAGCTAACTTTTTAAAAGTAATCGATGCGGTAAAGAATTGAATTTTGTGAAAATAAAAGATTTCTAAAATTACCTAATTTTTTTATTTTTACAATATCTCGTTATAATGCCCCATTCTTAGGTATTATTAACTATTAAGTGATATTTGTGGAAATTAATGACTTGTGAAAGCATTTGTGCTCGAGGGGAATAAATCTGAGGTCTAAAATGTTCAATCCCCTCCTTATGATTTTAACTAAAAATTTCACTTCCTACTTAAATTTCGGTATAATGGACTTCCCTATTATTATAGACCTGTTTTCCAGGGGTGGTGCAAGTGCCACAAAATACGAGACACGGGATTCACGAGATACGAGACGAGCTCCACCCCTGCTGTTTTCCCTTAAAGTTCGTTATATCGAGGTTTGATTTACTGTAATTTTTGTGTTCCCACAGTTAGAATTTATTTTTAAGTTGCCATATAAGGGTGTTTTGAATTTTGTTTGCGCATAAATATAAAAACGTGTAAAAATAAATTTTAACAATTAAAAAAAAGGGGAGGCATGCATCCATAAAATCCCCTTTTAAATGTTTTGCTCAATTGGTTTTTCTCTTCCCCCCAAATAAAGAATGATTCTCAAAAAAATTTTAAATTAATTGGATTAATTAAAATAAAAATGTTTGAAAATACAGAACAGAGGTCAGAAAAAAACTTTTTTTTTGCTTTCAAAATAATTTATGATTAAGAATGTGTTTTTACTTTTTTCTACATTTCTCTTATCATTTTTCACATAAAAATTATTTTCTCTGTAAAATGACTAAAATTATCTGTTTGCAAAACATATTGACTCATACACAAAAAAACAATTTTCTCATGTTCTAAATATAAATTTTCTGTTAAATTTTCATTTTTATACGAGGGGGATATTTAATTTTTTTAATTAAATAAATTAATAAGAGAAATTAAATTAAAAGAAATTATTTAAAAGCGGAAAATAAAGTGGCAAAATTAAATTATAAAAAAATATTTAAATGTAAAGGAATTTCAGTGCAAAATCGCAAGAACATAAAATTATAAATAAAAAATATACACAATTTCTCTCAACTATTCCCAGCCGTTGCTAGCCATTCAACCAGCTGAAATGAACTATAGTAAATTCTCACTTTCTTTCCTTCTCTCTAACTAGCTTTAAGCTTCCTTCCCGCCAAATTTCTTTACAATGTCCATCAACTACATATAGATAGGTCACAGAATTCGTGACAACTTTTGAGTCCAAAATAATTATTAATTTTTAAATCTTCAACTAATTCCACTCAAATTTTCAACTCTCAGAGACTCTAAAATTCTTTCCACTAGAAGCTACTTTTTGTATTCTACCAGCCGCCCTTTACATTTTATTTAAAGCTCAACCACCCCATACACATAGGAGAAAAGCTGCGAGAAAGCAAAACATGGCGTAGGACACCACATTTATTTATTTTTTTCGTCTCACTTGAGAATATAAAATATTCTATCAAGAAAGCGACGAATTTTAGCTCCATTAAAATTGAGAATAATACTGCTATTTTTTTATTTTTAAATTTTTGGACAGAAAAAAAACAAATTGGGAGATTTTTTTTATAAAAAAATTTTTTATTAAGTGAAGAGTATTACAACTATGATTTAATATTAATTACAAAAATGAGGGGAAAACTAAAAAATATAATTTATATGGCATTAAAGGCACACAAAAATTTAAAGCATAAAGGCAAGTAATAAAATATTATAGTAAGTCATTGCATAAAAACATTTTTAATAAGTGTATCTACCAATGTATGTTATCTGATAAAAATAACCTCTATATATTTTCGTTACTTGTAATTTATTTAACCACATTAATAGATAAACTTGTTGTACCTCGAACACTCGGGGGCGGGATGTCGGGCTATGGAACAGGGTTAGAGGCGAGTAGAAAATTTTTTTGACTAATTCTTCCTTTATCGCCGTATTGATACCGAATTTTAAATTCGGGATCAGCGTACAATTCTAATTTTAAGACAACCCTATTTATAAAAAGGTTTCGATAAACTACTTTCTCCTAGAAATCTCGGATATGCGTCTTCAACCAAATTAAATTAGATTCTTATTCAATGCCTTAATATTTTTAAAATTAAATTTTATGACTCTTCCACAAACTCGTCAACATTATTACCATTATTATCATCAGAGATCATATCTTTCTTATTACAACTCCTCTTCCTTCTCCTTCCTCGAGCAAGTCCATTTGTTCGATATTCTGTCCAAGTTTTTGCTGATTTTGCATTCCTTGCAGCAACTGGAAAGATTTCTTCAATTCCTGTTGTATCTTGCCAAACACTTCTCAATTGCATAAATAAAAGAACACCAACAGCAAAGATAACACCATAAGTTAACCCCACAGCTAGCACTGAAGCGCTGAACAATGAAATTGAAGCAATCGGCAAATCGGGGGGTTCTAAGTATTGTGGCGTGGGAGACGGTGAAATACTTGATTGGTTTGTTTTTGATAAAGAAATGACCTTTAAAAAAAGATTAAGTTGGATTAATTTTTGTTGGGGTAATAAAAGAAAAGTTTTTCGACGGAAATGTTTTTAAAATCAGACGGGCAGGATCTCCTAACATAATATTAAAAATAAAATCTCACAGTAGTAACAACTTTGTACAAACAACTAGACAAAACAATTGCTGAATGTACAGCACCAATAAATACAAAAAAGAGAAATCTAATGAAGTGAAACTGATTCCGGCCGCCAACACAATTATTAACCCAAGGGCAGTGATGGTCCATTAACTGCAAACACAAAATTTAAAAAACATAAAACCGAAAAAATACCAAAACACATCGACGACACCTTGAACAATGATGAGATCTAGGCACTTTAAAACCCATACAGCGATGACAATAACGAAGTAAATACCAATCAGCTTCGTCTTTAGGATGCCATCCCAACCGGATATATCCTCCTCCTAAATATAAAATAAATATCAATCCAAAAAAAATAATAATTTACCACAAATACTCGCAATATTTAAATGTTTAAACACAGAATAATTCCAAAATAAATATATCATAAAAAGAGCAGCGCCAATTGGAGATTTTGGATCCCACCAGGAAACATGTAAAATTGAAGTAGTTAAGCCAACATTAAATTAAACAAAAAATATTTTTAAAAAGACCAAAAAAATTACAATTGTGCAAATAGACATTGAAGAAATTGGACCCCAATGTAATAACCTCCACCGTGATAAAATTGTTTTATCTTCGGCATCATCACTCCATGGATCATCATATTTCTGTTTATTTTGAGTAAGCGCTCTTGGCAACTAAAGAAATAAATTTATTAGTTACATTAAATATCATCTAAAACTATTAAGTTGGATGGAAAATTTTGAGCATAAACATGAGGTAATATTGTAGACTATGGTTTCCAGTCTGATGTGGGAAATTCTTATATACGGAACCGAATTGCAGAACCGGGGCGAAAATCATAACAAGTAGGACCTCCCTAGGCCCAGATATTTCCCTTTGCGAGACAGACATTGACTAACGTAAGCCTCACTTTATTAGGCTAAAATATTTTTAACTTTTACATACCTGCGTTAAAGCACCCTTCACCTCCTCTATAGAAGAAAAGAAAAAAGCCTTAACCTTGTACAACATAATTCTAAAAAAATAAATTTAACTTAAAAATTTCCTTTAAAAATTAAAAGAAAATAAGCGAGATGTATTCGTTTAGAATTTATAACTCAATTTAAAAAATCTATCTTTTTAATCAAAAGAAAAATCAGAAAAAAGAGAGAAAGAATAAAAATAATCATTTAAATGAGTATCACATCTTTAATCGAATGAAACAATAAATTCCCGTGAAGAAATGAAAATATAGCTTTAAGCTTATCATCAACATTTAAACTTTTGGCATTTGAAAGCAAAAATGCCGAAGGCAAAAAGGCTGTGGATTGGCGACGTAAGTCGAGACTGTTACCATTCGGATCAAATAATGTAAACCAGAAGAGGATTGCGTGGCAAACTGATGATTTGGAACAAGTAAAAATACAATGTTGCTTAACTCGAGTTAATTGATCCAGAAGGTTTCGATTCTGTGGATGAAGAAGAAATTAGTAGTAAAAAATAGTCAAAAATGGGGATCCGAATAAATATAGGAGTAGGTCCAAATTCTTAGAAAAGCATAAGAACGGGACGAATTCAAAGATAAATCAAAATCTAAAAAATACCGAGTTGCTAAAATCCATTCGAAATAATTCTACATCCTCCGAAATTTGCTCAAAATCAAAAGTCTTCGTTTCAATCTCATGAAAATATTGTACTCTGTAATCATCCATTGGAGTCAAATCAATACCACAATAAGTTTGCTTGTCTTGAAGTAATCTACTTCGTTTACAAAGCTCATTAGAGTTAATTAAACATCCATTAACGCTGAGTTGAACAGGAACTAATATTGATTTTGGATTACGAAGACGTAAGCCAATTATGGAGGTAAGATATTCGTCAAGAAAACGACCTTGATTTGAGAAGGGCCAAAAAAGAATGACACTGCCAGGTCTGCAAAATGCTGAAAAATAATAAAAATAATCATTATTTCTCAATTAAGATCACAAACCTTTTTCAATAGAAGTTGCTTTATTTCCCACATAACGAATTGCAGAATATTCAGAAGCTACAGAAAAACGCTTATCAATGAGTAGATCTGTACAGTCTAACACCGAAGAATATCGAGCTGCAGCGGTGAAATAAAAAGTTCTAACGACCGAATCATTCATTGCCATTAAATCCACCCATTGAGGTAATCGAAGAATTTGACATTCACGAATAGGTGACAGACCAGAAATTGGATGAACTCGAAGGGCGTTGTCTTTAATGAAAATTTCAAATCGAAGTACATCTCCTTGTTTTACGAGTGTTTGCGGATAAAAAGGATAGATGGCTTGCTGCCAGCAATATCCCTCATCTGGCGATGTACAAATTACAATATCGCCAAAAAGGTTTAATCTAAAAGAGAAAAATTAGAAAAATAATTATTAAAATATTAGAACCTGAACCAAGCACAGACAGCTGAAGCTACTCCAGTTTTGTTTGCCTTTAATGTGAGTTCAGTGACGAATTGACCTTCAAAGGAATAAAAAATTAAAAAAAAACTAATTTTAAAAAACCATTCTTAATCTTCATTAATTGAGAAACATCGTTAAAGTCAACAGAAATTCCTTCAACTGGTTGCGATAAAAGTCTATAACCGTCTTTTAATTCTTCAACATATGAACAAGTATAAGGCGATGGAGGAAGAATTCGTTTAATATTTTTTGAAGCAGATCCCTCAACATTACAACAATCAGAAATAAAAGTAATTGTATCAGAATACTCAAATACATTTTCACGATCAATTGCTTCCGCCTCTAGAAGTGAGAAAAGGAGAGAAACCTTTAAATTTGAAGAAATTAATTATAAAAAATAATTTTAAGAAAATGCCTTATTTGGGATTAAAATTGCATCTTCTTCTAGAAGCCGTTCTTTTGCGTCAAGAATCTGAAAAATTCGACTTAATATTTGAAAGTAGATAAAAACAAAACAAAATTTGTCAAAATTCTAAAAAAATACCGTTTCTATAATTCTTTCTCCAAAAATTGCACAATCAACAGTTTCGCTAACAAGTAAATTATAACGTTTTTTGACCGTTAATTTTTTCGAATGCATCTCAAAAAGCTTGACTCGAACATCATTTTGTATAAAACAATTACGAGCAATTTTGCACATAGTTTCATCAAGATCACAAGCATGGACAGGATTATCATTCCTGAAAAACCCAAATTTAATTTTTCAAAAGGTAATTTTTGGAAACAGGGTAAGCTAAAGTAAGCTAAAACCCAAAAACAATTCCATAAAGGATTAAAACAAATGGTAATATTGAACCGGACAGAGTATCTTTTTCCGTCTCCAATTTTCCCCATATATTTTTGCAAAATGGTCAGACTTTTTCCTTTCTTCCATCCAATTTGCCTTTTTAATTTTTGCCTATATTTTGGATGAAAGGAAAAAGTTTGCCCATTTTTCAAAAATATAGGGGGAAAATTGGGAAAAAAAGAGGGTCTGTCCAGTTTAATATTACCAAACAAATTTTTAAATGAAAAATTTGTCAATTTTTTATTAAATTGTATACCTAGCCGCAGCAATACTAAAAATTCCAGAGCCACATCCAATGTCAATTACTCTTGCATCTTGTTTTGCATTAAGTGCTCCATTAATCGCTTCAACAAATTTTGCATTTCTTTTCCCGTCATTAATCATTCGCCAATGCCAGGCATCAAATAAATTTGTCTTTAAATTTTCAATACTTGTTGTAGCTTGAAGCCATTCAATATCCCCCTTAGCAAATAAAAGAGCCCTTTGAAAATTAGCCAAAGATCTAGACAATTTGCCTTAAAAATAATTTAATCAAAAAACCCCGAAAAAATTAGGAACAGACTTTTAACATAATAATATTCTGCAATTGTTCGCCAAAATCTAAATTCTGTTCCATAAATTATTGTTGCCACACGTAAAACATCATTTGTATTAGTCTCCTAAGATTATAAAAATAATTAATTTTTAGAGAAAAATTTTTACATTCGCCTCACGATGAAGAAATGCTTGAAGTGTCACTAAAAATTCTTCCAAATATTTTAAACGATTTTCTGTTGGGAGAGATTTAAGAACTGCAATGTAATTAAGAATAGCAAGAGAATAATGACGTTGAGAAGAATAAAGTCTAGCATTTGAAAGTGAATATCTAGTAGATTCTGTGTCGATTTGAAATGTAATAGGACGTGGGAGAGGAAACATCTAAAAACAAAAAAATAAGGCTCATGTCCAGTTTATGCGTCCCATGAAAGTATATGCGTCCCATCAACAAAAAATTGGATATTTCTTGGTGTTGCAAAGTAGGGGTATGGTTCCAAAGCATTTCTTCATGTTCGGGATCTACGTCCACTGGGTCTGGGACCGTTCCTTACCCTATACCTCGAAATTTCTGAAAGTTAAAATCGTTTTCCCGAAATTTTTAAAAATTGGCTATAACTTTCAGAAATTTCGAAGGATAGGGTAAGGAACGGTCCCAGACCCAATGGACGTAGATCCCGAACATGAATAAATGCTTTGGAACCATACCCCTACTTTGCAACACCAAGAAATATCCAATTTTTTGTTGATGGGACGCATATACTTTCATGTGACGCATAAACTGGACAAGAGCCAAAAATAAAAACATATGAACATAATCAACTATCAAATTCCAAATCACGAAAGGATAAAAAATTTCTGAAGTGAAAGCGGTTTTAATGATTTGAAAACCCCCAAAATTTAATAATTGGCATTCTGTATAAAAGACTTTTTGTCTCAAAAACCAGAAGAAAAATTAAAGAATAGAATTAGCAGAGATAATAGAAAATGTTAGAGAGGAGATTTCTTTAGGACAGGCCCAAAACGGCGCGCAGCCATAACTGCGCAAAGCCATAACTTGCTTCAAGATTTCCTAACCTTTCCAAATTTAGTATCAGACGATTCCTTTCGTCGAGCTAAGCAAAATGGTACCAAAATTGAGAAGTGCCAGACATTTCCCAGCAATTTATGGCTTTACGCCTTTATGGCCGCGCGCCGGTTTGGGTTGTACACGAATTTCTTTTGTTGTGTTTTTTTAATTTTTAGTCTCAGGAAATTTAACTCCGCAAAATTTTAATTTATTTTAATTATTAGTATCTTAATTTTTAAATTACGTCTTTTAAACAGTTAAAAATATGATTCAGGTTTTTATCTTTAATATTCTTTCTACTTCTATTTTAGCACATTCCTTGGGACAAACTTACTTTTACTGGACGTTTTATATTTATCGAGGAAAGTGTTCGGGGGACACCACCGAACAGATTATTATTTCTAATTAAATGTGTTTTTTTCATGGCTTTGGACATTACTTTATGTTTTGTTGCAACTATTGCCTCTTATCGTTTACTTGCTTGGGCATTATTTACTCCAGCTGAAAGGTTTCGATTTTTTAATTTTTTAATTTTTATAAAATTAAAATAATTAAAGAGGATTCTATTGTGATGATGAAAGTATTAGAGAAGAATTTAAAGAAAATACAGTCCCAACACTTACTCTTCTCGGTATTACATTGGCCGGTCCTTTTTTCATTATTGTCATTGCCAATTTTATAACTAAAATGAGACAGCAGAATATGGAAATGGCTGGTCTGGTTTATTTTACTTTAAATTTTTCTATATTTTTGTTAAATTTTTAGAAACATTTAATCGTTCAACTTTTGTTTACCTTGACTATCTCGCTGCCTTTTGGCTTACTACATTGTCGATTGACATAATTAAATGCTTTGTTGGAAGAACTAGACCCAATTTTATTGCAATGTGTGCACCACAAGAGTTTAACGATGTTTGTATTGAACATCCTGAAGGTTTGGATTTTTGAATTCAGAGGTTTAATTAGGCTAGCGATGTATTAGAGATTAGTATTTTCAAAAAAAGCTGGATATGTATTTAGGTTGGCAATCCCGGAGAATTGGGGTTTCTTCGAATAAAAATTTTAAAAATAAGAAAAAGGTTTTTTCTAGGGTAAAAAAATATGCTGATTACGAATCTGAACTCGGATCTTAAAAAAGTCGAATCCCGGACCCGAACCAAATTTCGAACCCTGAACCCTAATTTCGAATATACATATGATAGCTCGTTCGAAAGAGCTCATCGAGCTGCATCGAATGATACCAAAATCAACGTGATTGGACCTGTTTTGACAAAGTTATGACATAAAGTATACCTATGGGAGTACTATAGGAGTCGGCGACTTATGTCATAACTTTGTCAAAACTTGATGAATCCCTGTAATTTTTGTGTCTTTCGACTCAGCTCGACGAGCTCTTTCGAATGAGGTATCATTTGCACAAACTTTTTTTACTCCAAAAAATCACCCCAATGGTTTTTCAATATTCCGGGGTCTGTATCTCGGTCCAATCATGTCGGATTTCATCGATTTTGGTGTCATTCGATGCATCTCGATGAGTTCTACCTGCATATGAAAGACTGACCATTTTGCACAATGTCCGAAAATGTCCGGGGTCAAATTCCGAATTCGGGTCCGGGATTCGACTTTTTCAAAATCCAAGTTCAGATTCGTAATCAGCATATTTTTTTACCCTAGAAAAAACCTTTTTCTTATTTTTAAACTTTTTTTTCGAAGAAACCCCAATTCTCCGGGATTGCCTTTAGGTTAGTAACCTGGACAGGATTCTTTATCTGGATCCAGAAAAAATCCAGGACGATAAAAAAAAATGCCTGGATCTGGACTCAAGATCCAGGAAAAATCCAGACTGGATCCAGATTTATTGGGACCCTTTTTCATGCACTTCTTTTAATAACTATTGAATCTAAACTTTCCCTCGCACTTTTTTAAAATACTCTTCACTTAAATTGCTTTACCAAAGATTAATTTAATTCTCCATTTTTTAGCTTTCGTCCCAATTGCGCACTGCACAACTGGCTGGAAAAAATCACGTAATTCAAAGCTCAGTTTCCCCTCTGGACACGCTGCAATTTCTGTGTTTTCTACACTTTTTCTTTTTTTCTATTTGAGAGGCTTACAAAGGCGAACTTCCGATTTTATTATAAAATTATTATTTGTAATTGTTTCTTCCGTTTTTATTTCCTTTACTACTTATTGTTGTATATCACGAGTGACTGATTTTTGGCATTTTCCCACAGATGTTCTCGGTGGGGTATGTATAGGTTCGTTATTATTTCATTTACTTTTACACAAATATTACGAGACACGTCCACATTCCATTTAAATTTATTTTTTTTTATAATTATGCCAAATATTTTATATATTAGTGTAGTTCCCCTCATTTTTTGTCTATTTATTCAATTGATAGTTCAATGCCTGAAATTACTGAACTTACAATTGAACAGTCTCATTTTTAGACATCTGACCTATTTTTAGATTAAAACCATTTTATATGAGGGGAACTATACAATTATACCGGTATTTTATTTATATTTCTATCAATCTTCTCTAATGTTTAATGTATATTTGTTGTATTATTTATGATAAATTTTATGGGGTTTATTATTTTATTAAGTCCAAAATGCTTTCTTTTGCATAAATTTTTATTTAAATTGATTAGATCTAGGTTTATTCATTAAAGTCACACAAAATGTGATTTAATGTAATGATCAACTTTAAAGCTTCACAAGCAATTTTTATTGAAGATTTTCACGATAGAAAATGTTGTGTATGTCCAAATCATAGTTTAAACTATTATTTTAAACTTTGCCTTTTCGATAATATTTAAATTTACCTTTTCCCTAAAACCATTTTCCCATTTTTATCATTCCTTTATGTTTGATTGGCATTCCCCTTTATAATATTCAAAAATCCCTTTTACCTAACCGCATTTCCCCTTATATATTTAAATAACTGTCAATTTTATTCCAATTCCTATTCCCGCCTCATTTTTTCTGTATATAAGCATTTAGTTTATTCCCATTTTTCACCTTTAATTAACCTTTACCTGAACCTTATATTTGACTACCCTTATTTAGATTAAATAAACTTTTGTAAGTAAAAGAATTAATAGTATAAACCTCAATTGAATATTGAGAGAAATATTCATTTGAGAACACTTCCCCGGACACTTCAAGAAATTGCTTGTTTAGTTTTAAAATTTTTATCAGTTTTTCAAAATTATTTTTTTTAATTTTTTAGGTGTGTAGTAAGTATAATAATTATTTTAACTTGAGAGAAAATAAAAAATGAGTGCCAATGCGCAGCAGCAGCGACCACTTTGTCGTTATTTTGCCAGTAATGTTTGCTTCAAGGGAGACAACTGTGAATTTTCTCATGATCGTAATGCAAAGCCGGATTTGGTTTGTCGTTATTATATGCAAGGTGCTTGTGCATATGGGAGTAGATGCAGGTTTTTTAGAATTTCTATTGTAAATTTTATTTGAATTTTAGGTTTGATCATGTTCGAGCAGCACAGAAAGCAGCAGTTCCCAACGCTCAAACTTGTTCACTTGAAAAGGTTCGATCTTTATATTTCTATTTTTTTGACTGGACATGGAAATTTAATGAATTTTTTAACATTCATGTTTGGGCACCTTCTATTCTATTTCTATATTATATTTTGTTCTCAATTTAGATTTCTGCCGGTCCTAAAACGCCTCCAAAGCCTTCGGCCAAATTGTCAATCAATAGCAAGCCTTTTGTGCCGGCTCCAATTCCTGCGTCGAATCCATGGAATAAAAATACTGCTCTGAACAGTTTTCATAATGATTTGGGGTTCGAACTTGAATTGATTAACGGCCCTGATATTGGTTGCTCTTCAAATGATTTGTATTCAACCTCTGTTCAGAAAACGCAAAACCTCTGGCCCGAAAAACTTGCTAATGTGCCGCTATGTCCATATTTTGAAGTGGTTGGCAAATTATCTATTTTTCTAAAATTTTGGTTAAGCTTGAGGTTTTTTTAAATTGTAGTCGGATAATGGATAGGCTGTTACTTTCTCTTTAAGTTAAAAATAGTTTCACACTTTCTGAATTTTTATTTTAACTGTTAATCCTGGATAAAGCATTTTCAAATATTTCTATTGCAAGCTTTAGGGCTTATGTCAGGATGGCGATTTTTGCCGTTTTGTGCATGGTATTCAATGTGATATGTGTCTATTGAATATTCTCCATCCTCATAATGAAGCTCAACGTAAAAAACATCGTCACGATTGCCTTGAACAACACGAACGTGATATGGAAGCAGCTTTTGCTGATGCTCGTTCTGCGTAAATTCCACAATTTTTTTTATTTAAAATTTTTTTTATTTTAGTGACAAACAATGCGGTATTTGTATGGAATTAATTGCAGAAAAAGATTTGCGTTTTGCCATTCTTCAAAATTGCAACCATTGCTTTTGTTTGGAGTGTATTCGAAAATGGAGAAAACAACATAACAATATGGAACAAGAAGTTGAAGCAAAAACTGTCCGTGCTTGTCCAGAATGTCGAGTGCATAGCGATTATGTTATTCCGTCTAAAACTTGGATTGAAGATAAAGACGAAAAGGAGAAATTGATCAAAATCTTTCATGACAATACTAAAAAGGTTTGTGAAATTAAATTAATTTGCTTATGTTAATAATGTGCCTTGGGTAGGTCCTTAGAAAGTACGTCCATGAATTATTTTTTAAAATTAATATGAAATTAGCCCAGCTTTTTTATTTGAAGTATGGCCTTCATACGTGGCCTCAGAAATACCAAGATTCAAGACCCTGGGAATTTTTTAACTTCCTGAGATTTCCTGGATTTTTACAGAAGGCAGAATCAATCTTTGATCATTTCTATCATTTTTCAGATCCAATGCAAGTACATCAAAGGAAGCGATGTTGATAGCTGTCCATTTGGCAATAAGTGCTTTTATAAAGTTTGACTATTTAATCTTTATCTAAATAACAAGTATATTTTTAGCATCAAATGCCAGATGGAACAATTGTTGAAGGAAAATCGCCGCGTACTTTGCGAAGAGAGCAGCGTTCTGTTTTTGCTCATCATTTTGAACTTCTCGAATTTATGATAGTTTCTTTGTCTGATGATTCGGATGATGGCGGCCTTGATTTCAGCTGGTATTAAAGGACTATTTTGTTGGGTTTGGTATAAAAATATTTTTTTATTAACTTTTCTTGAATGCGCATTTTTTTGTCTTTCTCTTATATATAACGAGTTTGATGCTTAACGTTTTTCTAAACTAGTGTATATCTTTTTTGTTGAAACTTTTGCCTTCATTTCTTTTTTAGTGATGAATTTATACTTAACTTTTTCCAAACATCTCATGCCTTTTTGGCTCAACTTAATATTATGTACATAAATGTGCTCGAAATTTCTCAAATTTTTTTTGAGAATTTTTTAGAAATTTGATAGAATCCAAAAATATGTTAATACTGAAAATTTTACTGAAGCACATTTTCGAATTTTTCTTGATTATGCAATTATAAAAATATTTTATATATTTGCTGTTTTTGGCGACTGACCTTTTCCCGAAGACATACCTATTTTGTTATTGTAAGGTGATGTTAAAACGGGTTTTAATTTGAACGGGACTATTTAGTCATTTTAAATTATTTTAAAAATTGAATAAATACAATGGAGTTTTGTCTAGTATGTTAAAATCCGGTGCCTTTTTTGTACATCTTTTATATTTAAAACAAGAAACAATTCTAAATAAAAGTGTTCTACTTTCCATAAGGAATTTTGTTTTTTCTTGATTCTCTGTCAAACGGATCCCTCCAAGGTGGCAAATGTGAATCTGCAGCTAATTGATCGCGCGAAATTGGTAAACTGTCGTAAAATTGTTTTTGCTTCTTTGCATAGAATTCGTGATTGATCTGAATTGAATTTGTTTTGACTATCCAGATGAGCAAACTCAACCTCCTAACCTACGTCCCAAGAATAAAGGAACCAAAATAAAATAACCTTTGGTTGAATAGCCATCATATAGAAAGCCAAAGCAATTGCTCCCACGGTTCCAAAAATCATAATTTTACCCGAAGAAATTTCCATCTTATTTTTAATATTAACAATTGCATCAGAAAGTCGTGTCCAAGGAGGGATTTTAGGTCCAGCAGCCGGATACCGCATCTTTTTAAAGATTAAAAAATAAAATTTAAATTACCAAAATTAAAGAAAAAAATAATAACGGCAAATAACCAAAGAATAAAAATAAAATTTTATTTAAAAGTATATTTTATCTCCACTAAAATTTTATTAAATTTGTTACAAAATTTGAGCTTTTTCGTCATTTCTTCTATCTTTTAAAATTGACCATCTTGAAGGAGGCCAAATCAGACATGTTGCTTTTCCAACTATAAGACCACAATTTACCTTAAATTTAGAAAAAAATGTTAAATTTAAAAAAAATTCTTTACCGGTCCATATGCCCTGCTATCCAAAACTGTTGGACATTTCAAATTATCAGAAAGTACCCAGATATGGTTCTTTGGAACAAGCACTCGCCCTCCTTGCTTTGTTCTTGCTGTATCACCTTCAAGGGCAACTATACGCTTTATGTGGTTTTTTGATGGATCCGGGGGTGCTCTACAAAAATTGAGATTTCTGTTGATAATTTTTGAATAAACTTATTTATTTATTTATTTATTTATTTATGAGCAACCACACGGTATAAAAAAAATACACTAATAGTGGTGAAAAAAAGACAAATATGTGTAAAATACATACGTGAACACAAAAATATCTCCAATATTTGGCTTAGGAAAGATTTTTGATATCCATACAACATCGCCAGGAACTAGAGTTGGCTGAAAACAAAAATACTTTCCACTTTATTCTCAATTTTAAATTTACAAACCAACATAGAAATCCCTGAAATTGACATTGGGCAGCCGATCAAATCGAAAAACGCTGTACATGTACAAAATATCCCAGTAGCGTGAATTGCCCTCCGAAGAAAAATTTTGGATTTTTGCATTTATTATTGAAATTTATTTTGCCAATTTTGTATGTCTAAATATCTTGTAATTTTTTAATAATTTTAGGTCAACTTAGAATTAGAAATACACCTTATGTTACTTCAAAAAACATTTAATTCCAAATATTAAAAACATAATTTTTAAGTTTTATCAAGAAAAACATTTAGTGTTAAAATAATATTTATAATGTCCCAATTCTGTCATTTTAAAATAAAAACGAAAAATATTTTTCAATAATTGGGACAATATTTAATTTCAAAAAAGAAATAATTTTTTCAAAAAAATCAAAAAAAATAAACTTGAAAAGATACTTTTCACATCAATAAAATCTCAAAAATAATTAAATAATCTCAATCCCCAGCAACGTGATTCTTAATGTCATAAACAAAAGGCCAAGCATTATCTGTTCCAAAATTAATTCTAGCATCACAACGCCTCAAAAGAATGTGAGGAAATAAATCCTCAACATCGTTCAAAAGAATTGTCTTTCCTTAAAATAAAAATTTTTTATTTTGAGAATAAGAAAGAGGGAATTTAGAAAAAAATTCGGTACTTGTAGGTTATCTCAAACCAGTTTTTGCGGATATATTTAGGCGGACACGTTTATGAACGTAATAGTATAAAAATTCTTCTTTCGTGGACCGAAAATTCTTCCTTCCTCGATTTCACTCAATTTTCGCTGTTGACCAGTACATAAAGAATCCGCATAAATGTCCGTAAAAATTTGGTTGGGATAACCTACAAGTACCAGAAATTTCTCAAAAAAATTATCAAATATTAATAACAAAAATTTTACAAACCAATCTGTTTCTTGTTTAAAGTGAAGAAAATTTGAGTAGGTTCATTTGGCTTATTTTTCGGAGGAATTATATGCCCACAACCAAAAACATCATTGCAACCCATTCGATCATTAAAAAAACGTTTGCACGCCCCATCAGCCGTGCGGTAATTTCCACTATTTGACAAACGGAAATAACATTGATCATTTTTATAAAGCCCAATTTCCAATTCCCATTCGAACCAATTAAAACTAAAAAAATTATCAGAAAAATATTTTTAATTCAAAAACAAACTCGGTTTCCTTAACAGGGTCAGGCAAAGCAATAACTTCAAAAAAGCGGCAAACATAAGCGTCTTCTGGTACTTCACTTGGAATGTCGGCTCTCATAAATTCCTTCTCAGCAAGTACCATAATTAAATTGTCGCTTTCTATAAAAATTTTTAGTAAAAGAAAAAAATAAATTTAAATTTCCAAACCCATATTTTTGGTAGAATGACTATATTTAATTAACGACCCATCATAACAAATCCAAACAGCTCCATTCCCCTCACGACAATGCCCTGTAGTTTCTCTACAATTTTGACCACAACAGTTCTGATTTTCCGAAAAACGGTTCAATTTGTTCCAGCACTTAACATAAACCTAAAAAATAAAAATTTGTTTTGATTGAAACAAAAAACTAACCGTTGGCTTTGGTTTGTGAGTATTGATATTTGCAAGCATAGACTAAAAAATATTAATTTAAATTTAAAAAAAAATAAAAACCTCCAAAGACTTGATTTTCTCATTTAAATCATTTCTGTAGGCAGAACAAGAAGAATTAGAACAACAGTCAAAATCCTCCTCCATTTTTAATTTATAATTTGGCTAAGAGAATTTGTAAATGCTTAAAATGATTTAATGAATAACGAGAATTGTATTTTTAAAATTAAAAGATTTTTCCTTTCGGGAAATTTAATCATTTTAATTAGAAACTTCTGATAAGATTAATAAAATTCGGACTTTAAACTTTCTAATAATTTTTGTGAAGATGTTGCCGAAAAGAAAAACACAACAAACAACAAAACGGCTAAAAATAAAGACAAAACGCCAAACAAAGATTTCGGCCGTTTTAACTCCAAACTCTCAAAACAAAAATATCGTACGGTTTAATTGTGATTTAATTTCAATTGTTCTCTCAATATTTCACATAAATTAAGTACCAAAAATAAAAAAAACTAAATAATACGAAAAACATTTATTTCCTAAATTTAAAAAATTCTGAGAATTCTTAAGGCACAGAAATATTAAAATGAAAAGAATGAGATTAATTAAATATTATTGCAAGGTATTGAAAGTTTAATTGACTAGTTTAGCTAAACAGGATGTTTTTGTGGTGTTTTTTCTCCTGCTAATAAATGCCTTGATTCATTTTCACCACTATCCATTAAATTGTACATTGCCAAAGTTAAATAACTTGAAAGGGAAAAGTTTGAAATTTTTGAGTAATTTATTATTAAATACCTTGCTGGTAATTCTCCTATATTCAGTGAAATCTTAAATTGAATTTTGGAAAATTTTTAAAAATTGTTTAGTAAACCTGATGAAGAATAAATACTCCATCTGGGCCTAACGTCCGAACAACTTGAAAAATGTAATGAAAAAATAAATGTTACTTTGTAAAGTATTGGGAAGGTATACATATAATTTTCGGGTGACCGTTTTATTATAAGGTGGACACCAGAGATCGAGCTGGGTCTGGACCAAGGCCTGGGTTTTTCCTATACCCAGAGTTCAGGCCCAGGCATTTTTTGGCCTTCTTGGGGTTTCCTGAACTACAGGCACAGGATCCTGCCAAGCTCAATAAATCAAAACCAGAGTCCAGGAACAGGCCCAGGCTTTTCAAAAATTTCGATCTCTAGTAGCCACTGTTATTGTATGCTTTATTATTATGCACTATTCTACTAGAGGGGGGATACTTTATTATTTATATCCTTTGTTATTTGTTATTAGTTCCGAGAATTCTTTTGTACTAGTGTTTGTTTGGGAAGTTAAAAAGTCCCTTCATTGGTCCCTTATTTGTGAATCATTTTTATGATTGCTTATGCAAATATTTTATTTTTTATCCACTATAATTACATCTTTCCAAATTAAAAGCTGCCCCAGAATGTAAAGTTAAAAATGCTTGAAGTCGAAGACGTGAGGCAGAAGGAAAGCAAAGGGCTAAATAAAAATTTATTTTAAAGAAACTTTCAAATTCTTGCCTTTAGACCAGCTGAGGAAATTAGCCCAACTACAAAGGCAGACAAATAAATACCAAAACCAAAGAAATATAAATAATTTCTCATAGTAAATATTTAATGTTAAAACACACATTACTGTTTCAACCTTAATAAATCTTTTAACTTTAGATTAAATAAGATTTTATGGAAGTAATAAAGAAAGAGTTCCGAATAGCCGAATAGGAGAGGTCTTTCATATACCGGAAATATGATGGAAATTTACTTCTTGAGCAACTACAATTCCATGTAAAACCTCTAGAAACTCATTTTCCCTTCAGTGGATAACCTCTTCAATAGAAAGTTCCCCCTCTATAATTTTAAAAAATTTATTAGTGACCTGTACAGAAGCAGGTTTTCTCTTTGTAAAATCACAATGTGTTATCCTTGGAAAATGTCCTGTCTCCTAATAAATTACCAATTATTTTTTTAAAAATATTTAAAAATATATTTCTCCCACTTGCCAATCTAAACCATTAAGTAAATCAACAAGAATTGAAGGTCCTCTCCACGAATACATTGGAGATCCAACCAAAGCATTTAACCACATAAACATTATTGTCGAATTAGTAGCTTGTATTAATGTATATATTACATAATAAAGGACTAATTGGCCACGGCTTCGACGACGTGAAAGTCGAATACCATCCCAAAGGTAGGGAGCTGCTTGACGTTCGAAGGAGTCTACTCGAGCTTTAAAAATAATTTTTAATATAAATTAAAGAAAATATCATCAAAAGTTGTAATATATATTTGAGGGAAATCATCATTTTAAATAAGTTTAGGCCAAGGTGGCTAGAATAAAACATAAGTCTCCTAAAGTCTTTCTTAATGATGTAAATGTTTTTGTAGCCAGAGATACGCCTAATTTAATAATAAAATACATTGAAAATTCGATGAACGAATCTGATTCCAAAGATGATCAACATATTGAACACTAGACTGTATACATAATAAAAAAATTAAATAATAAAAGCAAAAATATACCGTAAATGATCTAATTAAAGCCCTGAGCGTCTATTTTTCAATGGGTCTCCATGGGTGGGCTTGTGTTAGATATGGGCTTCTAATAGAGTCGGGCTTTAATTAGAGCATTTACTGTATTTATGTTTTGTATTTTAATTGTCATTACAAGTAAAAAGAGATTATCCAAGAACAGAAACATTTTTACTTGTAAAAACATAATTAAAACAGGTAAATCGCCTTATTTTTTTCTTGATCACTCTCTTGTTTATTTTAGTAATTATGTAATTTTTTCCTTCAAGTTTTTTTATTTAATAGAGGGATTAATACTTTTTTAAAGAAAAAATTAAAAAAGGAAAAATCTAAATGGAAAACTTACAGCCAAATCATAACCAGAAAATTGTGCCATTTTGCGCCAAAGAAAGCGCGGAATGTAGAAAAATAGAGCATGTGCAGCTAGGACATATGGAACCTAATAATGTGTTATTAAGAATTACAATTTTGGATTCTTAATAATGAAATATGGGGTAGATGGAATTTTTGTTTGTTCGAATATATTTTCCTTATTTCTCAAAAATTTCCCAGACATTTTAGTAAACAAGAATGGTATACAAAAACTTGAGGAAATAATTAAAATATTTTCACCATTTAAAAAATAATTAGAATATACCCATTGATAATAGTCAATAAATACTCGCTGCCTAGTTTCTTTATCATAATCCAAAGGCTCAACAAGATGTGCCCAATATGTTCCTTTATTTATTAATTAAAAAATTATTAAAAAAAATTTTTAACCATGAACAAAGCAATATTGATCTACAAATTCAGCCCAAACTTTGGGGAATTCTGCTGGTATCCAACAACTTTTAAAAATAAATTAAAAAATATTTTTTAATTCAAAAAATTTACGTTATAGGATCACCCCAAAAATGTGTAGTTAAAAGAAGACCAGCAGAAATACCCAAAATTGTAACTGTAACACGAGAATTTAGACGACCAGCCTTTAATGGAAAAATTAAATTTAGAAAAAATTAAAAAATTTTTCTCCTTACAAAATCTCCTTTAGGCTGCGTAAATAATTTGCCTATAAGATTATTTATGCTGTTTATTGCACCTAATTGAGAACTCATCCTTCTCGTTTAATTAATCCTTAAAAAATAAAATTATTATTTTTAACTCTGATTATATTTATGTGAAAAGATTGTCCCCCCAAATATTCAATCAAAATTGGTAAGAATATTTTGATTTGAATCTATCTATCCCAAAATCTGAGCCCAGAGGGACGAAGCAAAAAAGAAGTGTAATTAATGAGGGAATTGAGAAACTAAAAAAATTTTATTCTAGAAAGGAGTCGAAAGTTTACTAGGACATGGATACGGATACAGATATTGTAAGAATGCCTGCGGATATCCGTCTGTATCCGCCGTAAATATCCGGATACGGATACCAAAATCAGTATCCGTGTCCTAGTCTGGTCGAAAGTGTGATTCAAGACATGAGATTCCAAGTTACTAAACAGTGAACTTGAAAAAATGGGGAAATCAAATCGAGAAATTCGGAGTTAAACTCTACTGTTAGAATTTACCTTATATTTTATTTCTTTGTTGTAGTTGTTAAAAAACGGTTGGCATTTAATTTTATTGTTTAATTATTTTCTTCCAGTAAATTTTTTGGCCCTCTGAGAATGATCAGTAAAAATGAAAGGCTACCTTCTTTTTAGTCCCACAACTAAATACCTAACTTTTTCCAATCATTTTCTATTCAATTTTTGTGCACGTTGGCTTTTTCTTTACATTTTTGTTGTACTCTGCTGCCTTTTTGCAATCAACAGACGTCCGTAAAGTTTGCACTAGTTTCTCTTTAAGTCGAGAGTGTGTGGGGGTTATTGGCGCTATACTTCCTCGCGCACTTCTTTTGAATCTTTCACATAGTTTTAGCTTCTTCTTTTTTCTTTTCAAATGATTTATAAGCTCCTCCTTTTTGTTTTTTCTGAACATTTTACCTTTTCTAATCAAGTTTTTGGGAAAGGTTTTTAATTTAATTTTCTTTTGCCATTTAAGCTTAATAGGTATTAAATAGGTTTCTGAAAATGTTTTAATAAGGATTCAACTTTTGAAAAAATTAGTGGTGTTGGAAATTTGAAAAATTTTCGTCGTCTTATCGTCCAATCTCTTGAGTCACCTCAACACAATATTTTTTGTGATCAAATTAGATAAAGGGGGAATTATTCACTTCTAGGGAAAGATACTTTCGAGGAGCGAAAAGTTGAGTTTCTAAATAGTTCCTAAAAAAATAGAAAAATAATGGCAAAAATCCATTTATTTGATCGGTGGCCTCTCTAATGAAATTCACCGTCAGATCTTCCCAATTAAATTTTAAAAATAAACCAAAATCAACTTATTATTTTTCCACAAAATTATGTTAAAATTTAATTAAATAAAAACACTTAAAAGTACATTTTAATCCTTTCAATTAATTCAACTACTTAAAGTTAAAATTCCGAAGAAAGTACTTGTTAATGAATTATCAAAAAAAACAACAAAAAGTTTTCAATTATTTACTCAAAATTTTCAACAAAAATTTTTTTCCAATTCACACACACAAATAAATTAAAGTACATACTTTTAAAAATTGAGGAGAGATTTGGTTAAAAAATAAAACAAAATTCTTTTATGTATTTTTATTTATTTTCTTTTTTATTTTTGTAAAATAATCTTAGTTTTAGATTTTTTAATATTTGTAAACTTTAGTTTCAAGCTTTTACACAATTTGTATAGATCTTTTATAAAAATAAAAAGAATTCCGATTTTAAAAGTAAATATTAATTTAAAAACTAGAATAAAAGCTTTTTCCAGTATTTAATTAAAAAATAAAGTTTTATATTTCTTTTATTATATAAAATAAAAGATAGAGAAATATGATCTAAAAATATTGGAATAAATAAAAACAAAGATTTCTAGTTTAACCAGTTATATTTAACATTACAAATTTAAGAATATAATTTAAAAATTTAACGAGAATTTTAAAAACTGATAAAAATAACAAAATAATCGAGGCATTTTGTCTTTAAATCAAATAAATAGTGATCCATGTTTAAGCAGATTGATATTTTATTATATCAATGACAAAGAATATCAGCTCATCATGTAAAAACAAAGGAAAGAATACCATAAATTTATTTTACCTTATCTTGAATATCTTGGAGTTTTAAAATTTATTCAAAAAATTGTTTAAAAGTGAAGTATTTTTATCAAAAAATATTTTGAATTAAATGAAAAAAAGTCAAAATAAGTAAGAATTAAAGTGTCGAAAATCCACAACTTCAAGATAAAAATTTCAATAAAATTCTTTCAAAACAAAATGTTTCGAAATATCATAAATAAAAGGATTTGTCCCCAAATTATTTCCAAAATTTGTTTCCACAGAACAACATCTTAATACAACATATGGCTGGTACCAATTATAATTATCCTTCAACAATAAAGCTTTCCCTTTAAAAATTAAATTAAAAAATATATTTAAATTATATCTTTACCAATTTGTTTTCCATTTTGTGTGAAGAAAATATAAGGCAATTCATTAACTATAGTTGGAGGGTAAACTAATCCACATCCAAATACATCATTATCATTCCAAGATAATGTTGAAAGTTTAAATTCTTCATCTATTTCATTTCCAATTGCACACTTTTTTGCATTAAATCTAAACCACTTAATATTATTAGCAACACCAATAAACATCCAACATTTATTTAATTCTCTTTCCATTTTACATTTAATTTCAAAATAAAATAAGGAATAATTAAAACAATTTTGAGGCCTTTTGAATAAATTTTCAGCATGAACAACAACATCAATATCTTTCCCTAAAATATTTACAAAATCTATTGGTAATCCTTAAGATCATTGGTCCCTAAAAAAATTGGTAAAAAAGTGCTGTTTTGATAATTTTGAGGTCTGCCAGTAGGTAATCGAGTGTGCTGAGTCCGAATCTGAGCTTAGAATTGGTATATTTCGAACCCCGGACCCAAATTCGACAAAGTCGAATTTGGGGTAAACACTTCGAAATTAAAAATTTAGGGCTAATCTGCACGACTATTCGAGCTGAGTCGAATGGTATCAAAATTATGATGTTTCGACAACTTTGGACGAAGTTATGATTAATTAAATACACGCTTGCTGAGACTTGCGTATACAAATCAGACACCATAACTTCGTCTAAAGTTGTCGAAACGTAATAATTTTGATGCCAGCGACTCAGTTCGAAGAGACGAGTCAGATTAAGCAAAAAATTTGAAATTTTGAATTTCTACCCCAAATTCGACTTTGTCGAATTTGGGTCCGGGGTTCGAAATAAACCAATTCTAAGCTCAGATTCGGACTCAGCACACTCGATTACCTACTGGCAGACCTCAAAATTATCAAAACAGCACTTTTTTCCCAATTTTTTTTAGGGACCAATGATCTTAAGGATTACCAATCTATTCTAATGTTCTAAAAAACAACCTTTCCCCTCCACACAATTATAGTATCTAATATATTCATCACTAATTAAACTAATAAATCCATTTCCTTCAATACAATTACCATTTGGTTTATTTGTATTTATACAATTATTTTCACAACATTTATATTTTTCAGAAATATATTTCCATTTATTTTTAATTTCAACAAAATTCTTAAAATAATTTTTCAAATATTTTTATATTTAATTAAACTAACCACTAATTTACGAGTAACATTATTTAATTGCTCAAATTTAATTGTCATATCAGCAAACTTTTTTTCATATAAATTATTTACCTTTTAATACAAATTTCTATTAATTTAGAAAAAATAAAATTTTCACACCTTTTTCATTTCCCTTAATTCATTTTCAAGATTTGAAGTCTTTCGCTTCTCTTCATTAAATTTTTGTCTATATTCGGTCATTTTTCAGAATTGAATTAAAATATATTTTAAAAGAAAACAAGAATTTTATTCAAAAAATGATTAACTATAAGATACTTTTTAAAAAAAACTAAAATTTATGTAAATTTTATAGAAAATCTTTTTAAACTTTATTTTTAATTTAAAAATGAATGTAATTGAAGGAGAAATATTTTTGAAAATTAATACTTATATAATTGAAGCATTTTAGCTCAGAGAAAGTTTTTTAAAATGGAAGGTTTTATTTATGAGAATATTTGTTGAGGGAAATATTTTAAATAACAACAGTCTGAACACCCAAACAAACTTTTCCTTCATAAAGAATACTATCACTTTTCTATAAAGAATTTTAACTCATCTTCGTAAAATTAAATTTCATAAAAATTGAGCCGAAAAAAAGACATCGAACGTCGGCCGGTTCTAAAACCCCAACCCTAACTAGGAATCTAGAAAAACAGAAAAAGGTAGGTGGAGTTATTATTTCTTAACACATTAAAAAGAAAATTACGAAAAGCAAAAAATGTGTCAAAACTTAGTATTACTTAAAATTTCAATTAAATTCTTAATGAATTAAATGTTTGAAATTTCATAGAGGGGGAAAAGATTGTAAATGGAAGAAATTTAATCCACTTATTATTACAATTTTTAAGACCAAAAACCATTCGTTTATTTAATTCTTTCGAGGCTTTACATTTAATTTCAAAATAAAATAATGAATAATCAACAACAAAATAATTATCTAAACGGGGAACGAGGTTGTTCCCCGTCCCGAGTCTGGGAATTTTTTACATAAATCTTGGGATTTGAATCTTGGATCTAGGTATAAATTGTATTTATCTTGCACATTTGCGTGCGTATTCTGGTATTTTTCTTGCGTATTTTTCATTTTATAATGCAAAAATCTCATCCCTAGTAATCATTTAAAAACAAAGCAGAGAATAACAAATATTTATTTTACTTATCCTTAATATCCCAAAGTTTTAAAAATAATTCAAAAAATTGTGTAAAAATAAAAGAAAATTAGTAAAAATTAAATAAAATTAATGAAGAATCCCCAACTTCCAAACAAAACTTTCAATAAAATTCTCTAAATTCTAGCTGATGGTATTTAACGTCATAAATAAAAGGATTTGTCTCCAAATTATTTCCAAAGTTTGCTTCTACAGAACAACATTGTAATACAACATATGGATAATAATAATCAGACCTTTTCTTTAATAATAAAGCTTTCCCTTTAAAAATATTTTTAAATAATTTTTTTTTCAATTTTATCTTTACCAATTCGTTTTCCATTTTGGGTAAAGAAAATATAAGAACATCTAGTTTTTTTGTCAGTTGGAGGATAAACTAATCCACACCCAAAAACATCATTATCATTCCAAGAAAATGTTGAAAGTTTAAAATTTAAATTGTCTTTCATAAATGTTCCATTTTTTGGAAGGAATTTAAAAGATTTTTTATTACAATCTTTAAGACCAATAACCATCCAACAATTATTTAATTCTTTTTCCATTTTACATTTAATTTCAAAATAAAATAAAGAAAAATTGATGCAATTTTGAGGTCTTTTGAATGAATTTTCAGCCTGAACAATGACTTGAATATCATTATCTAAAATGTTTTAAAAAATAATTCTAAAATTCTAAGCCAACCTTTCCCCTCCAAACAATTAATATATTTAATATTCTCATTATTAATTAAATTAACAAATCCATTTCCCTCAATACAATTCCCAATTGGGTTGTCTGTATTTATACAATTATTTTCACAACATTTATATTCATCAAAAATATATTTCCATTTATTTTTAAGTTCAACAAAACTCTTAAAAAATTATTTAAAAAACATTTATGTATTAAACTAACCACAACTTTACAAGTTAAAAAATTTACTCGTTCTAATTTAATTGATAAATCCTCAATCTTCTTTTCAAATAAATTATTTGCCTCTTTAATTTGTTTTTCCAAAGAATTTATTTTTTCATCTTTTTGATTATTAACTTTATTTAAAAAAATATTTTCTGTTTCCAAAACAACTCTTTGTTTAGAATTTTGTTTTAAGTCTTCAATTTCATTTTTATGATCAGACTCGAGTTTTTGAATTTTCTTAAATTAAATTATTAAAGTTTGGAGAAAAA